AAGGGGGGCGGCGCCGCGCGGAGCTCCCGCCCGGCGGGGGCGGCCGTTACCGGCGGCCGTTACGGCGCGCGGGGCGGGGCCGGGCAGGGCAGCCGTTGCCCCGTCCCCTCAGCGGCGACGCAGCCCCTGAGAGGGGGATTCGCGGCCTCGGAGACCGTAGCCCCGGGGTGAAGTGGCTTCGTACCCCCCGCCAGGACAAGCTACCGGGCCCGGGGCGGGAGCAGAGGGCGAGGCCGGCGGGAGAAAGGCGGCTGAGGGGGGTCGCCATCTTTCCGTGGCGCGGGTTGGAGGAAAGCGAGTGGGTTTTAGCCAAGCGGCGCAGAAAACGCTCAGTTTTTATTAAATACAGATGCAAAGTCTACAGGAGGTGCGCGTGGGACACTTGTTTTGCCTTAGGTTTAGCGTTATTTCTTAGCTAATACTCGAAAATCACACGTCAGTTGGTGGAACGCCACAGCGTTTCAGTCAGGAGCCAGGATTACCTAAGTCTAGTCGCTGCAACTGATAGAAAGTAAAGCTTTCACCCGCAAACAAAGCAACTTTTCATTGTGGTTATCATCTAATTGTTGACAAGTCATTCCAGTTGGTCATTAGTGACTGGCTTCTCTTCCTTCTTGCACTTGATCCCGAAGAAACTGAAAAGTTTCATTAGCATCAGATCAACAATCTCCTCTTCTTCAGAAGCCTAAAATAATGAGGAAAAAGTTACTGGGATGCCGAGCCCAGAAGCAGGTACGGTTTCTGCTGAAGCCAGAGAGAGTCACAAGAGGAAATCTCTACTTGAGGTGAAACAGGCCAACTTTCAGTCAACGGAGCAACAACATTTCCAACAACAGAGCTAAAGTAACCACCAAAGCAAAACATCACACAAATATGTTTATCAAGACAAAAGTCCCAGTTGGGCATGGGTGAGGATGAACGTTACAGAAGAAGTTTTGTCTCTGTCAAAGCCCATGGAAATCTTGCTACAGGAGCCCAGAATTCATTTGCCAGCTACCATAACAGCTGGTGGTACATAGAGTGAGCCACCCACCATTTCTAGATGAAGTAAATGAGAAAAACTAAATATATCTTGCTTTCTATTGACAAGATTCTTTGTTCTCATCTCCCTTGACTTTGTTTAGAACAGAGGAATTTTAGACAGTACTGGAATACAAAGCTGGAATTTACACCATACTATCAATAGGTTGAATGGGTCAAACACTCAGGGACATTTTTGAAAGGAGTGTAAAGTCCTCAAGGACTTTAGTGGCAGTTTTGGCGCTGATTTTGGTGGTGCTGGGGCACAAGTCTAAGGCTTTGGCTGGATTTAGTACGTGAACAGAAGGCTACAAATCAGATCTGAACTGGGACTTGTCTGAACAGGAATGGACAGCGTAAATCTGGAAAATCTGAAGTGTGCTTTATGAGTAAATCTTGACTTCTTAGGAGTTGGACTGAGTTTATATGGATTTCATCCGATGGTAGAATACCTAAATCATGAGTAATCACGGCACAATAAATGTTAAAAACGGCAGGAGAGCTTAGGTGAACACACCTGGTAGTGCTTCTGCTCCTCCCCAAAAGCAACCAGAATCACTGAAATGAACAGATTCAGTACCACAAATGTCATGAAAATTATGCAGGATCCGATTAAGAAGGAGCCTAAAATTGGATTGTAGTCCAAGACCTGTAATATTCATAAGGTAAGACATCATATTTTGATTGTTAAAAAAAAAGAAAACCAACCAAAAAACCCATACGTACAAGCAGTTAAGACACAATAAGGAATTTGTCTCTGAAAATGCCTATAGCTAACAAATTATGCTATCTACCACTCACCGGACAGCACCAGCGAGCTGGTGGTCAACCTCCGGACCGCCGGCACCCGCAGCGGCAGAGGCGGCGAGAGGCGCGGGCAGCGCGGCGCCAGCACCGGCCCGACCCGCCGGAACGCTCGCCACGCCATCTTTGCCGGGGGCGGGCAGGCGGGGGGGGGAAAGGGGGGCGGCGCCGCGCGGAGCTCCCGCCCGGCGGGGGCGGCCGTGGCCAACTTTCAGTCAACGGAGCAACAACATTTCCAACAACAGAGCTAAAGTAACCACCAAAGCAAAACATCACACAAATATGTTTATCAAGACAAAAGTCCCAGTTGGGCATGGGTGAGGATGAACGTTACAGAAGAAGTTTTGTCTCTGTCAAAGCCCATGGAAATCTTGCTACAGGAGCCCAGAATTCATTTGCCAGCTACCATAACAGCTGGTGGTACATAGAGTGAGCCACCCACCATTTCTAGATGAAGTAAATGAGAAAAACTAAATATATCTTGCTTTCTATTGACAAGATTCTTTGTTCTCATCTCCCTTGACTTTGTTTAGAACAGAGGAATTTTGGACAGTACTGGAATACAAAGCTGGAATTTACACCATACTATCAATAGGTTGAATGGGTCAAACACTCAGGGACATTTTTGAAAGGAGTGTAAAGTCCTCAAGGACTTTAGTGGCAGTTTTGGCGCTGATTTTGGTGGTGCTGGGGCACAAGTCTAAGGCTTTGGCTGGATTTAGTACGTGAACAGAAGGCTACAAATCAGATCTGAACTGGGACTTGTCTGAACAGGAATGGACAGCGTAAATCTGGAAAATCTGAAGTGTGCTTTATGAGTAAATCTTGACTTCTTAGGAGTTGGACTGAGTTTATATGGATTTCATCCGATGGTAGAATACCTAAATCATGAGTAATGACGGCACAATAAATGTTAAAAACGGCAGGAGAGCTTAGGTGAACACACCTGGTAGTGCTTCTGCTCCTCCCCAAAAGCAACCAGAATCACTGAAATGAACAGATTCAGTACCACAAATGTCATGAAAATTATGCAGGATCCGATTAAGAAGGAGCCTAAAATTGGATTGTAGTCCAAGACCTGTAATATTCATAAGGTAAGACATCATATTTTGATTGTTAAAAAAAAAGAAAACCAACCAAAAAACCCATACGTACAAGCAGTTAAGACACAATAAGGAATTTGTCTCTGAAAATGCCTATAGCTAACAAATTATGCTATCTATATAATACATCTATATATAATGCCTATAGCTAACAAATTATGCTATCTATAGCATAGATATAGCTATATATATAGATGTATTATTCACTTTATTCACTCCTTTATTCACTTTCCTATGTTGATATGATATAATACAAATATGATGGAATATTTTATATATATGATATATTAATATGGGAAATCTCTGGGGTTTTTTAAGTGTTTGCATTTGATTGTAAGGGTATGAAAGTTTCATGTGAAAGTTGACAAGGCTGGACAACTGTTTATCCACAGAACAGCTGAAGCTCCATCATGCTTCAGCTTGTAAAGTATGGATGAAATCTCTGTGTGGTTTTGTTTAGTAGTGTCTTTACAAAGAAGCCCAGTCAGACTGTCATGGGCACATATCAACAAAGGGTTGTGTAAAAATCCAAACCCCTAATATTCACGTAAACTATAATGTAGGAATGTATTTTCATGATTAACAACATGAGTGGGATGTAGAGGTGAAAAACTTTGTGCCCAATTACTGATCTTCAAAGCTATCTATACCCTGTTGGATCCATGGTTTGAAAATAGCCACCAAGGAGGACTTCACAGTCAGAGATGTCTGAGAACTAGCTTAATCCACAATGAGCTGTTCAAAGGATATTGTAATAATTGAATGAACTTAACGAAAAAGTCAAGAATAATAAAAACAAATGTAAGAAAGTTCCCTTGTGGAAGGCCTTGCTTTTCTTGGGAAGCTGATGAGTGTGTGTTCAGAACAAATGCAGCGTATTGCTCACATTTCCATCTGTAGCTTTCTAAGGAAACTGCTCAAAACTTTCTGTAATCAGTAAGTAACATATCGAGTTAAAATATGGGCACCTTTCTCAATGAAGTGTTCATTATGAATCTACTGATAGTCAAAATGGGATGTGAGATATATTTCACTTGGTGTCTTTTTCTTGATGAGAACAGGTGGCTGCTTTAGGAAGCTATGGAGCTTGCAAAATTAGATTAATGTCTAGCACTAACTGAAAGCCTTTCTATTTGCTGGGTCAAAGCATATTTGATAGCTGAGGTGCTAATCATACAGTGATACACTTTTCAAAATTAGGGGTGGTACCTCCTCATAGTTGAAGATTCCCAGCTGAAGACTGACCATGGTCTCTGCCGAGTCAAAGAGTGTTTTGTAAGAGCAGAGCTTCCAGCCAAATATCAAGTTTGTCTGCAGAGGAAAGAAGGCACATCTTGTGTCACAATCCCAGTCCTTGCTGCAAAATCCACTAATGACTGCCGTATTCAGAGAAAGCCCTCTTAGCTTGTCAGCAGAGCCATGAAGTTTTTTTGTGTGTGTTCTGGGTGTTTTTTGGTTTACAAGCAGGGGAAACACCAGACAAGGTCACAGAAGAAGACTAACCTAGAGTTAAGAACTGGATTCACACTTTCTGAATGTGTTTAGCTGTAAGACTTTTTACCATGGATATGACAACGTCTTATATTGCTCAACTTGGCACTAGATATGTAAAAAATCTGCAAATACATGACAAAATCATGAAAGTAATTTAACTCACCTCCAAGGAGCAGATTTATCCCTACATAATTGACCAAATTAGTCATGGTCACAAACAATGGCCTTCCAAACAGGCAACCTCCTTGTTTGCACTCAGTAACTAAGGTGCTAATTTCTTAATTTATATCTTGTGGGCCTCCTGCCTCTGATTTAAATAGGAGCTGCTGCCGGCTCACCTTTTTCTCCATCCCTCTGCCTCTTTCTTTTACAGCTCCTTTACTGGCATGAGGTGACAACAGGCTGATTAGAACTGATCTGATCACTTATTTAACCTGTTCAGTTTGTGGCCACACCGGTGCCTAAAGCTACTCAGTGACTAGTTCCAGTGCTGTTTGTCACAGGGCTGTCCCTTACAGGACAGTTTGCATTTGGCTCAGATGGTTTCCACTTCTTCAGTAATTTTTCAATTGAGATGTGCTGAATTTCCCACATCACACTGCCAGAAGATTTACAGGAAATATTTCAGCTAAAGTATACGTAAGTAAGTACACTTACATTGCAGTCCAATAATTCTTTAATCTCATTAGAATGAAAATATACTTTTATTTGTGTAATGAGTATTCCTATGACAGACAGAAAAATAATTATTTCCCACTTAAAAACTGGCCAAACAGAAAATTGCACTTGCTGCACTCTCCCCGATTTAAACTTTATCCAGAAAATGATTTTTCCTGTACTTTGCTCTTTGTCACACCTATTACACACAGAGAAGCCATTTTTTCATCTCAGTGTTTGATTTTTGCAGTAAATTTCAGTTTGCAAAGAATAGATAAGTGGATATTTTAACTTCTCTTTCACTTACACTGAAGAATTGGGCTCCAAGCTTCTAACCTAAGATATAGGCAGCTTTATTCAGTTTTGTATTTCAAAGCTGCGTTGCTTTCAGCATTCAGAGATAAATCATTTAGCCTGACAGTACTCAGAAGCAAACCGCAGCCAACAGGAACCACAGTGGTACTCACAGCGATGGAATAGGCCAGGAACATGATTGCAATAACAGTGATGAATCCAGAGATATCTCCCCATGCCCTCCTTAGGGTTGAAGTGATCATGTTTAGTTTAGGGTTCAGCCTCAGGAGATGCCACAGTTTCACTGTGGAGAGAAGCACTAGGAATGCAATCAGGTAGCCAAGAACCGCGTCAGCTCTTGCTGTTTCATTAAAGCTTACACAGCTGTTAGAAAAAAAGAAAAGTTGTAATAGACCATGAGGTCTATTAAGATAGAATCTCTCTGTCTTGAGATTCCAAGAAGGAAAATAGATTTGCTTCTGCATAAGTAGCACCAACAAAGGATGCACTAACTAGCATTAGTACTTACTCCTCTTTGTGTTCCTGGTAGTAGCTGATGTCCCGGGTCCCAAGGATTGTCCGCTTCACAAACACTGACAGGGCACTCCAGCTAATCAATATGATGGCCATCTCCAGGAGATTCCACTTGCTGTGGAAGTATCTCCATCTCAGAGTCTTCATCAGTTTTCCCTGTGAAAAGAGGAATTTTACAGTTTCAGTTTCATGACTCTGTATCATACAGTATACCTCTAAAGATTAGGGCTATCCTCTCCGCAATAAAGCAAACTACTGCATGTCAATAAAACTACATCTTGCACTGATCTCTCATTATCTTTCTCAAAAGCAACATTCCAGGCAAATAAAATGTTGCTTTCCTGTTATTTAACACAGATACAGTATCTGATTCAATCTTCCATTGATGCAAGTCAGCAGCAGTGTTACTGTAATAAAGTACAGTCATAGAAACATTGAATCGTCTAAGTTGGAAGGGACTTTTAAGGTCATTGAGTCCAACCTAACACTGCTAAAACCACCATTAAACCATGTCCCTCAGCGCCATGTCTACTCATATTTTAAATACCTCCAGGGACGGCAACTCAACCGCTTTACTGGGCAGCCTGAAGTTTTTGTAAGTGGAATGTAAACCAGACACAAGGAGGTGCTGTCAGATGAATTTTCCATTGGGTCTTACCTGTACTATCATGTAGTACACGATGAACAGGAAATAAATTACTTCTGCTGCAACCACAAAGATGTGGAGGCTGCTGGTGTATGTGTAAAGCCGGACACTTTGCAGCTCTGCACTTGTGAAGAAGGCCCCTAAAAAACAAAGTTCTCCTCAGTGCTCTGATGATTATATCATCCTGTTTTCATTCAAACAATTTAGTTCACCAGTAAGACTTCTGTGCTTGCATTCCCATCAATATGGGACTGAACATCACTATCAAACTAATATTTAGACTTGATTATGTGTGTAGCCTTATAACTGATCTGTGAAATTTTCCTCCAATAGGAGTTTCACAGAATCACAGTGCTTTTAGAGTGCTGTCGCTCTCCTGTATGATAGTATGATATTAATCCCAGCAGGACTGAGTTTGTGTTGGTCTACAAATGCAGAAATGTAGCAGGAGGACCTGGCGATATAAATCTGAATCTCATTCTAAAAAGAAAATGACCTCAGGTTTGTGGACTGGTTTGGGCATTTTCCAATACTGGCACAGACCTGAGGGATGCTACTGGTCAGATTAAGTGTTTTTGTGTGGCCTTCCAACCAGAATCTAGTTTCACTATTTTCTTTGCTGTATCCAGATTATGTATTGTAGGATTACATGGTGATATATTAGAAGTCTTCTGGAACAAAAGACAGGCTGTTGTTTGTACTTTTGTCTTAATGCTGTATTGATTAGCTGAAATGGATAGGAAACATAAGTTTTCTTGTTCCTGTTGTGTAAATGCTGGAGATTAAGTTTCAGTTCCGTGTTTTCTTCATCAGCAGATGACCACAGCATAAGCAAACGTAAGATATTCCATTACGGTCTGTATTACTGTGATGCTACATTTTCCCTAAATGGTTTATAAATTTTGCATTGATTCTGTTATTAGATTTATTAAAACATTTCTATTTACTGAATAAAGAACTAGGTAAACATTGACAGCATGTAAATCTGCGCTCTGTGGGTGCATTGCTTGCTGTCCTCAGAAATGTGTAACTTAAAAAAGGTTCTCACCTAAAGCATTGGTTTCAAACATCAGGCTTATGATGCAGAACAGGTTCACATTTGCGTTGTAGACTGTAAATTCGACAAACACTGCTCTTGTGAAGGTGTCTAGCCAGACATTGTTGAAAAGGTACTGGAGAATTCTGCCAAAAAATGCATAGCCAGTGATCTAACTCATACAGGAAAGAGACAGTATCATACAGGAGTTAGGACTGTTTGGATATTATCATAGAGAAGGAGTAAACCAGAGCTGTTCAAGAGGACATCTGGTCTGTTAGGTCTGGGTACAGGGACTATTTGTACTATTAGTCTAGTGGTAAGCTTCTTTTTGGCTCCTCTGGAGAAACAGGTTCTCCTTCTCTGGAGACATTCAAAACCCGCCTGGACAAGTTCCTGTGCAACCTGCTCTAGGTTGACCTGCTCTGGCAGGGGGGTTGGACTACATGATCTCCAGAGGTCCCTTCCAACTGCATGTGATTCTGTGATTCTGTGATATTGGCCAGTGCTAAACCTGAGATGCCTCAGGATCTATCATTTACCTCATATAGATTAGGAGAAAAAGGTTCTAATTTTGGAGCCTGGTTGATACCTAGCATGGAGCAAGATGACAGGAACATAAACTACAGTGATAGCCCCACAGTAATACCTACAATATTCAGCACAATGCACAGAAGGAAAACTTCTGATGCAATCTGAAATTAATCTTAAATAGGGTAAAGAGCATCATTGATGCTACAGCAGATACACTAGTAATTTACAAGAATACAAGTGGTACCTGGAGGCATTCTTAGGATCAGTTCCCAGGTGAATTGTGTAGCCCCCTCCCCTGTAGATGGCCAGTTTGCCCCAGATGGGGTGCCCTCTCAGTTTGGACTGACTCTGATAGTGCCATGCTGAGCTCAGGTCGGAGGAGTTATCAAAGACTGAAGCATTCCAGTGTTCCCCATAATCTGCTGTATCTTCTGTTTGTAGGGAATATGGAGCATGGCATTCCCGAAGCACGTGCTGGAGTTTGGGAGAAATAGGGCAAGTGTCTCCTTTCACTCTTACTTGGCGAATTCGAGCACTACCCACCAGCTTGGAATTGCCATCTGTGATGAATCCTAAACAGGAGATGGAAAAGAGCAGCACTTGTATTATGACAGAACTACTAATAATATTTCTTCATTTCCTGTATGATTCACTGATGCATTAATATTGTGCTATAGATTCTTTTCTAAAAAAACACTGTAAGCAAAATAGTAATGAAAATTAAGCCCTCATGTTGATTTGAACTGAGTTCTTAGACAACACCCAGAGATAACAGAGTTCAGTATCACTGCCTTTCTGTATTTTATACAGAAGGAAACTGAGGCCTGGAGGAGAAAAGTGACTTGCTTTGATTCCCCCAGCAGGGTAGCTGTATGCAGTGTCCATATGGGCACAGTTGGTCCGTGTCTGTCATGTTCAATGAACTGCTCTGCTAATGTATTTCAATATTTACTTTTAAATGTGAGCTGAAAAATGGGTCATATTTATTACTGGATATGGCTAGATAGAAACATGTTGATATTGCTTAATTAGCCTTCACATTGACCTAAGTCATGATGCAAACAGAGCTCTCCTGAGGAAAAGCTTTGTGGTGACACCCATCTGCCATTCTTTTTTTAAATTATGGAAAGAAACTTGTATAAAACTGATACCTGAAAATCTAACATTGCAATGCAGAACTTTTGCATTATATTAAATATAAGGAAAAGATCAGGACACATTAAACTTGGGGTCAAGCTGTAGGTTTTTTGTTATCCACTATTATTCATATTATAAGAATCCATACTAGCCTTATACACTCACAGTTTCTTTTTCCAGTCAACTATGCATGTGCAAGTTAGGGGTATGTATAAAAGATAATGTTTCAGAATCTGGCAAGCTGAAGTGAAACAATGGGACTCTGTACCTTTATATGATCCATAAAGATTTTTGACTAAGGTGGTGTTTGCCCATGTGAAAAAATCCTGATAACTGTAGACATCGTGGAATCCGTCTGTAAAGCTGTTCTCAATGTGTTTGTTTAAGTAGTAGGAATTGGGATCTCTCTGCCCATAGGCAACCAGTAACAGCATCCATAAAAATCCCAGATAGGCTGGAAAAAAACCAAGAAGAGACAGCATATGCGAGCTCAGAATTAACACTGCTGCTTGAAATAGATTGCATGAATGATTACTGCTGTCGTCACTTATTAGTGATGCTTTGGTAGATTCTAACTGACCAGCACTAATGAATTTGCACAAGCTACTTCAAGGTGCTGCAGTTTAAACATATCACATTTGGAATATGAGCAGCAGTCGAGAAAATAACTGGGAAGCCTGGCTAAACACCAATAGTCATGACAACTCAAAATAAAATGGCTAGTCTTTGTTTCATGTGAAGTTGAAGTATTTTTTTCCATTGTTTTAAGAGGAAATAAAACTGGAGTATAAATCAGTTTATAGATACTATCTAAATAAAACTGGAGTATAAATCAGTTTATAGATACTATCTGCTTTTAGAAAGATGGCCTCCATATGCTCATTTGATTTCCACTTCATTTACCTGTTGACCTCCTCCTCCTCCCCTTCTTAACTTTTCTTTAACCTCTCGTGTGTCTGTAATGTGTTTCTTTACCATAAAATCAAGCCTCAGCCACAATTCCATCTCCAGTGAATGTTCCCACTTCTTGCAGCTGCCACCAAACAGCCTCTCTCTGCACCATAATGACTGGTAAAAAGCTAAAGATATGCCAAAACTTCTTCACCCAAGAGAACAATATTTTCACTGATGTAAAAATACTGAGGAATATTATTGAATAAAAGAAGATAATCTACATATGGATAATACCTAAGATTTCTCTGATGAGGGCAAATGCTTTCTGCTCCTTCATACAGCTGATTTTCATTTTCTCCACATCAGCTGCAGGAGGTGGCTGGTAAATATTGCTTCTACTGTCCCTTCGGGCTCCAAAGAGAGGATTTGAATCACCTGTGAGTGAGAGCAGTAAACCCTGAAATCAGTTAACAGATCATCTCTGTTCTACTTTTTGTTTCTTTGGATATTATAAGGAAGCAGTTCTACTTACTGCTTTCCCTTAGGAAGACAGGGGATGTGATTTAAACAATTAGCATAGTAAGGAAAACAGTGGGGAGGGAAGGAGCTGACAAGCACAGTGTGTTAGGTTTATGCCCAGGTGTCTCTCTCTAGGCTGAGCATCTCAGAAGGTGATGTATTCAGAGCCTGAGGCTGATCAGGGAGGAAATTGTAGATCAGGATCCTTTGCTGTGCCCTAGGACTCCTGTCTGCTGATGTCAGCTTTTTTTAAGACATGATAGTGATTGCAGAAGCCAGTGTTTGGTTTATGGGAGTAATACAGGTAATTGTGGTTGTGGAAAAGTATGTAAACTGAGAAATTCCATAGAAGATTTAAAGGGAAATTTAATTGAAAGAGAGTTTTAGATATGCTTGTCAGATAAAGGTCTACCAATCTAGATGAAGAGTGCATTTTGCACTGGGTGTTTATTTTCACCAGGATGTGGAATAGTTACAGGTCTTGTTGCAAGCCATGCCATGAGTACTGAGATGTCTGCACAGAGCTAAAACAAGTCTCCTTTTGTATCTGATTTTTCTTATGTCTGATGTGAGAGCTAAAATATTTAAGCATGGTTACTGCATACTAATAGTGCTGAATCATTAATTCTTATTATAAAGGCTTTAGTCAGTTTGCCGCATTTTATTATTCTAGGTGCTCCTTGAATGTTGACAGACTGAAAAGTGATTGACTATCCATGTGTTCTTGATCTAATGTGAATCAATATAGGAGAATACTTATTTTTTCCTGACATAGGCAAGCCAGGGATGGAGGGGAGGAAGGAGTCAAATACCAGTATCCTGGCAGCCAGTAGGTGCTCCAGTAACAGGGGCAATCTTACAACAATCTTATTGTGCATGTATATATATTTACAGTGGTAAAAAGATAAACAAGGAAGTATTATTTTCTTGATCCAAAACTTCTTCTCTTCTATCTTTTTGACCTTGTGGTCTCTTTTTCTGAGTGTTCTGCAAGATTTATCTAACCTAGACATATAGTGGTCTTTATATATTCTCCAGCTGGGACAAAACCAGTTATTTAGGTTTGTTTCCACTTCTGCCTTGATCTTAGGAGTGCTAATGGGTAGGCACATAGTCACAGCACCTGTGGATTTAGTGATTTCTGCTAACCTTGTCAGCTAAGATTCAGGTATATAAAGATAACCAGTCAAGTTCTCAGTTGAGCTGAGTCATGTATTTGTGCATAAAGCCTCCAAAAGCTTGGAGAACACTTCACTTCCTTTAAGATTTTCTCACTTTACAGGCAGTTACCTGGTGCAGATAAAGGCCCATCGATAGCTGTGTTTTCTTCATCCTCATGTTCTACCTTCTTCAGAACCAGAGCAAAAAAAGCAGCAAATCCCAGCACCTGGAAAGAATTAGCTATAGACTCACCATACGTTCGTTTCATACAAATAAGCTCAGATTTTGACCTGGATCCCTTTGGATCCAGGCATGGGAGGAAAACAACTGTGCTTTGGCTTTGTTGAATTCATGCAGCTGAAGCTCATAGACAAGAGAAGAGTGGACAGTACTGGGGTCTATCCAGCTAAACTGATTTTGTCATATGACATGTCTTCCCTGGTCAGAAACCTCATCACCTATTAAACTCTGACAAAACAAGGGAGATGAAACTAATGGGGTTAATGTCAGCCAAAGACAACAGAACTGTGAATCATCTGCTAGCTCATGTTCTAAGACTTCTTTTTTTACATGTTAAATCCTGTGGTTCTTTAGAATACATTACATTGTCTTTGTGAAATAATTGTAGAATGAGTTCATATTGGCCAGGGGTTGTATTTCTGAGGATCTCACCTTTAAGGGCTGTGTGATGAAAAGACTTTCCAAGAAGGAGATGGCCATGGATATCAACCACTTGATGGAGTTCTCCTTGCCATAATGCAGCCCATAGAGCATGGTAAAGAACCCAGATACACCACTGGTGGCTGCAACAAGGAACCAAGCAATGAACACAAACCACCAGGGCAGTCCTTTGGAAGAAGAGCTTTTCTTGCCATCACCAGAGAAGCTTGGAGTAAGGGACCACCTTGAGAGTCAACCAGAAGAGAAAAAAATCAGTCTGCAGTGGAACAGAAGCCAAAATGATAGTCGATGGTTTCAGCAGGGATAGGCAGCATCTTGTGATTTAAAATCTCAGTCCTTTAACTAATGCAGTTATATAGGATATATGGATAGCAAAAAGTGCAGTGAGCAAAAATACGAGCAAGTGTGCAGAGATCAACTAAAATCAAACCAAATATGATGGCCTTATTTACTTCTCAGTTTATGCACAATTGAACCTCCAATAGAAATACTGACAAATGAAACCACAAGTGCATTTTAGCTGCTGGATACATCTCTTGTGATCCCTGTAAAGGCCATAGAGATAATTGGTACTTTTGTCCGCTTATTAATTTTTCTTTATCCATACATTTGAAGAGACATCTGAGACTTTGGAGCTCAGTGATTATCCCACCTCTTTGTTATCGTGTGGCATTACACTGTAACATTCAATTTTGGAGGCAAAAATGACAAAGAGCGGTGATCTGTCATTATTACTTTTGTGTGCAGTTCACAATGCATTGAAATTTCTTTGTTGCTCCTACAATAGTATAATAGTAAAGCATGTTTCTACAGCTATAGTAATGGTTATCTAGCACATATTAAGCAGTAATTATTTGGGCTCCATCATCCTGACCAGTTTTGAATTCATGACCTGAACTTACTTATACTGAGAACTAGATAAGAACTAGGTTACCTCTCACTGATGGACGCTGATGAGCAGATCCGGTTCTGCAGGAGGTTCTTCATGTGCTGAACCTGACGAACAGCTTGTGTGTAACTCTGAGGCATCTGAAATTTGTGGGGCCCCAGTAATTCCAACTCCATCTCTACATGCTGGAGTTGCATGTACAAGCAGCGATTGTAATCGCTGTATTTCAGTCGCTCACACGTTCCCTTCTCTGGAGTTGGGCTTCTTGTTTTTTCTGCAGGTAAAGAATTATTGTTTTTTTTAAAAGAAAATGAGCATAGCTTTCCCTAGATTAAAATACTGTCCAGTACAAAGGTTAGCAGAACTGGAGCTCAAGCTTATGAATGTAACAAAGTCAAGAGTAGCATTGGAAGGGACATGCAAAAGCATCTCTATTACATACTATAGAGCTTTAATGCTTTTCTGCTGGAATGGGCTGCATCTGTTGCCGGGAGGCAACTTAGTAAGACAGAGGTCCTAAAACCTTAATAGAGATGTCAGATAAGATCAAGTGCTAATTTGTTCATAGTTTACCTGTGCAATTAGTAGCTTGATACACTCAGTGGAAAAGCCAAATGCAAATCTTAATGAAATCAGTGGGATTGTTTACTCATACATTATTGTTTAATTGAAAATAAATGCTTAAGCTAAGAGTCAGACTGAAAGTAACAAGAGCACAAGGCTAAGAATTAAAAAAGGACAAGACAAAAAGACTGTGAAACAACTGAAGGTTGCTCAGAAAATTTGAGGAGACTCCATACTTGGAAATATTCAAAACCCAACTGGATGTGATCCTGGGAAACCTGCTCCAGCTGACCCTGCTCTGAGCAGGATGGTGGACTAGACAACCTCCAGAGATCCTTTCCAACTTCAACTATTCTGTGATTCTGTAATTGCCTTTGAGTCAGAAGGTAAGAAGAGCTTGGGTCATCACATCCAGCGTTACCATCATTTTCACTATAAAGTTTTGAGTAGGCACATCACATTGTGTTGTTTACCTTGTATACCCATAGCACCTAATGTGACAATTATAGGGTCCTCCTTCTTTTTGCTCTCATCATAGAAGTCTTGCCCAGCTCTGTTCTGCTGGCAGATGATGTCCTCAACCAGTGCCAATAGTGTGTTGATGTTAGTTGATTTTCCAAGATCTGATACTGAAGTGAGAGGTGGAGTCTTCAGAGCTTTAAAGAGCGAGTTGGCAATTCTTCTTATATCCTAGAAAAGACAGCAGTGACACAGCAATGACTGGCTGCAGTGACTTAAGCTGATGTGATCTGAAGGCACTGCTGGCTGGGAGCTGCAGCAGTTGCTAAGATCTCGAGAATGGATAAGGATGGTGTATCCTACGGTGCTGGATGTGACAGGCAGATTTCAACGAGTTCAGCAAGACAGCTTGCAGGATTCAAAAATACAACTTACTGCCTGAAGACCTTAGCTGAGAAAGACGGGGTCTATGATACCTTTTATCCTCACTGTCTTCCTTAATGTGTGCTTTATTTCCTGAACACAGTGATTTTGGTTGCACATAATAATTGTGCAAGGGCTGGGATGTAAATAGGCAGATCTTAATGAGGTGGAGGATTCCATGTAGATGGGTAGATGAGTGTTTTGCACCAGTGTGTAGTTGGCTTTTCGCTTCAGACAAGCTGAAGGACATCTGACAGGGAAGATTTCTGCGGTTAAACCGGGGATGTTGGGTTGTGCATGGCAGCAGAGGGCAGTGCAGGACTCACTGGGGAGCACCCACAGGGACTTGCCTTTGTCACAGCCTCTGGAGTGAGTGAGACAGCCTGGGTGACCTGTGGAGTGGGAGGTAGGCTTGGGGACACTCGACCATTCTTTGCCGGCTTCTTCTCTCTCCCCTCCGTGGCTGGCCGGGACCGTATATTCCTGAAGATCTGCACAATGAGCAGGTTGATGGGGAACATGAGGAGGGAGCTTTCAAAGCCAATCATCACTTCCTGCCATGTGAATTCGATCTTGCCTGTCAAGATCAAACAGAGAGGAGGAGTGAAAATAACCCCAGGAAGCATCAGATCTCTCACTTGTGAAAAAGCCCATTTCTCCAACTGTCCTGCTTCTAGATTCTGCTGTCTGTATATTTCCCTACCCAAGCAATGGTGAGGTATGTTACCCAAATCCATTTTCTGCTCGGCTGGGTCCTTTGGCACTCCCCAGAACATGATGCTGGTCAGCATGGTGCAGAGAAGCAGTGAGAAGCAACATGACACGCGCTGGGCTCGTGTGAAGGAGCTTCGTGGGCAGCGGCTGAAAACTGAGTACCAGATGTGCCCGTCCTGGAAACCCTTGGAGGTCTTCATGAAAAACAGATTGCTGGGAAGGAGGAGAGGGAAATCAAATGGATACTTAGTAAGGAGAGGGAAAGATAAAGCTGTAGTTAAGGTTCCTGACCTGTGCATGCTTCTAGGCCCCGTCAGAAGAAATAATAGCCATGAAAAATTGCCAAATATCATGGCTTGATTTGCATGGAATGGTCATAGCTACTTATGTCCTTTCCTTCTGGCCACACCATGGAGGGAAAGCTAATAATGAGCAGTTTCTATAAAATTGTTAGGGAAATTACATGTAAGAGAAGACAAGATGCTTGGGTTTCTGTAGGACTTGTCAGACTATCTTCCTTTAACACCAATATTTCCAGTATTACTGTTAGGGTAATGATAAGACTAATTAACCAGCCTTCCTTCCTTGTTCAGAGCACTTTGAGGGCTATGGAAAGACCTCCTTTGTTTTCATTTTCCTCTAGGTGCTTGATCTTTTTTGCATACTTGCTTTTCTAGACTGGTTGCTACCAAAAGTAAAAAGAAGTCCATAAAACAGAAGGTACCTGAACTGCTTCATGTCCTGTTCTGTAGCTACTGGGAACACTTTATCCAGAACACATTCTCCAATATCAACAGCTAGCCAAGAGTTACAGAGGAAGTACCATTTCTGATCCCATGCCAGATCATGGACCAATACTCGATTCACATACCTGTCAGAAAAACAGACAGGGCACATTCACAGGTAACTGAGTGCTATGAAATTCAGGACTTGACAGGACTATGAATGGCAAACTCTGGCCTTTGGCTTCTTGGGTTGTGTCTAAACTAAGGCACAGAACACATACCATCCTGTACTGAACACAGGATATGGGAAGCACTCCTGGTCCTGCAGTTTAATTTATTATTTGATCTATTCACCTGCAAAAATGAGAAACTAACATTTCTTTCCTTTCTAGAACTGTAGAAAGGATAATTTTCAAGTGCTAGAAAAGGAAAAAATATTTGTGGATCTTTACTTCCCAGGATCTCCAGATCTCCACTTACCAGGATGGACTGTCCCCCGAATTATCATGCCACAATCTAATACTCTGCAGTTCCCCAAGAGGGAAGAAGGTACAGAGTAGGAAAACATCCACTCCTCCACGTTCAAAGACGGGTGTATCAGGATCAGTCAGATGGTGTGGCTCACTCTCTCCTTCCAGTCCATAGAGGGTGAGAGTCACCTGGAGAATAAGATGGAAAAATGAAAACTCACGCATCTCAATCCTGTGTATGATTATTCCTCTGGCATACTCTTCCAGCTTTCATCAAATCAAAGGACTTTTTGGCTTAGATGTTGCATTTGAACCATCCTATTTAATAGCCTCAGGTGCTCCCTTATTCATCCAGTTCTCTAGACATAAACTGCCTTACCACATGGTGCCATTGATACCTTGGAGGTTGTGGCTGCCCCGCGGCGGTGTCCTGTGAAAACTGTCACAAGATAACGGTACTGAGCAAAGGGGTCATTGTCTTCCAGTACGGTGATTTTCACCTGCAGAACAACACAGTACAAACAGCGTGTTAGCTGTTCTGTAAGCATAGATTCCTTAAAGCTGTGGATAGGAATTTGTCATCTTGTGAACAATCCATATGCTTGCCAGTAAACAGAGTTACAGGGAAGGGAGTAGGACTGGTTGAAGATTTCCTATTAAAACAAGCTGGGCAAAGTGGGTATTGGTCTAAATACATTCACTCTTTACTAGCTGGAGACTTACTTTGGCATCATCCTGGATGTCTTTCCTTCGAGCCCAAATAACTACAATTATATATATCAAAAAGATGCATCCTACAGTTGTCACCACCACGGGGTTGTCCACAAATGTACCAAATAGCTGTGCAGTTTTGCTAACGTCTATGGCATTGGGTATGACAAAGAAGGAGCTCCCAAAGAAGGTCAGATGGTTGCAGAGGCACTGCGTGCTTGTAGGATTTGTTTTTGGTCCTACCTGAAAACAAGAAAAATTTCCCAATAAAACATTTGGCTTCAAGGTATTAGATAAATTACCAAGCAATTGAAAAGACAGTGCTGAGATTGGTAAGTTAGTGTGGAGAGCTGCTACACAGAAAATAATTCTTCAAGTTCCAATAAGGAGTATTAATTCTAATGTCTAGCCAGAAATGGGCATGAACAGAATGGTTCCAATTCTTTTTATACAGAAGCCCATCCCAAGAAATGGAAATGTCATTTGAAGCTTAGTCTGGTATGACTAAACTTCTTCAGTGTATTAAAACATCTCAGAATGATCTTATTTTAGGGTGTGATTTCAAGGCAGCTATTTTACTAAAAGATGGTGGTTATAAGGGCTGGCTTTGAAATATATAATATAAACATTGATTTGTTTCTCTCTACTTACATGACATCCATAGCTGTTCCAGTTCCCTTGGCGCTCATCCCAAAATACACAGCGGGATGCAAAGCAAGTGACAGCTATAGTTAGCCTGTCATAGACTGTGGAATCCATTGCCATGTCTTGTAAAACCATGAAATAGTAGGTTCCCTCTCCAAAAATGAGTTCTTCTGGGCTAAGAACCCAGGTGTTTGTTTCACCTTGAACATAAATATTTTAGTTTCAATGTACATATAGAAATGCTAATTCAGAAGTATGCAGCTGTAATGCATATAACCAAATAAATAAACTGAAGAAACAGGTATGAAATAATTCTTAGTGACTCATTGTTCAAGGCATCCCACTCTTTGCTCCTGTTAGTGAACACTCTATACTAGAGATGTGAACCGTGAAGCATGATGGATTGAAACTGCTTTGAGAGGTTTCTTTCCAGTTTGAGTCTGAACTCACGGTCAAGGCTCATTCTGCAAGTATGTGCATGTGCTGTAGTTGTGGCTGAGCTGTCCCCATACAGAGTGCCCTTAACTGGCTGCAGGAGGTGAAACCCTTTTGGTTACAGAAGCCCAGAACGCACAAGTTCACAGATCACTGACAAGGTCTCTTACCTCCAGCAGTTTTCTTACAGAACAGATGATTTTTCATATCATAGTTGGTTTCATTTGGATGATAACCATACCCTAAGTAGAGTATTAGTGGAATGTCGTGTTCAGATTCCAGGTGGATCACTACAGATGTGTTTTCTGAGGTAACATTCACTTGAAAAGTGCTAAAATTGCCCAGATTCAACAGAATCCTGTCTTCTTGAGCTGCTGAAGGCCTTGGTAATATTATCTGGTTTTAAACAGAAAGACATAACTTTAAATACCACAAAACACCTTGCTTCTAGAAGCACAATCCATCTATAAGCACAATCCAGCCATACAGTAGAAAATCTTTTTTTCATAGCATGGGGAAAGCATGGCTAGCAAAAAATATCAGTTGCACAGTAATTTTCTTGATATTATCAGCTAACCTCTGAAAAGTTCATCTGAAACCTATATAGACTCATCACAAAGTCTATGACCCTTGGTGCAATTCTGAACAAAGAGCTGAGATTATAAGCGAAACACTGGCTGCATGAAGTGATAGATGAATGATTTAGACGTCAGCTAATCATGGGCTAGGAAGCCCAAGCAGCAGCAATATGAACCTACGGCTGTTGGATGATGAAATTGGACATTGTACTGTGTTTCGAGATGACTGTAATCTGGAGTAATTTTCCACAACCATTAGTGTTCTCACATCCATTTAAATGAAGAATAAGATACTTCTTTTTAAAGAAAAGAGGTAAATATTTGTTGTTTCATTCTTCAAATCACACAAATCCCTCCATCACAAATGCAGACACTGTGATCCCGTTATACGCTGTAATGAACACTACCATCATTTGCAGTCACTTCACAGAAGATAACAAAAATGATGGTTTGTAAACAGAGAAAGGATAAAAAGGAAAAGAGGGAGAGGGATAGAAAATAGTGGGTTTACCTCAATGTTTTCTCTGAGATTGCTGACCGGTATGATCAAGCCATCCAGACCAGTAAGACTTAGACCTCCCACTGTTCCACTGATGTCAAAACTGGTGTCAGTGGAGAAAAAGGGATTCACGGCAAAGCTCACCATCTATTAGCAAGACATTAACAAACAGCTTTGAGCTATTGGTAATATTTCATTATGTTCACACTCTAAATTGCTGAATGGATAAAGCCAAACAGACTCAACTTTAAAGAAACCTGCATCCAGATTTAAATAAGAAGCTGCCTTATCTCTAAGGCAGGCCAAAATCAATCCTTGAAAGTTATTTTGGTTCTGAAATGTGATTTATGTACAGCAATGTATTTTGCTTCCCATTAATTGTAACTCTTTTGCCTTGTAGGCACCAGATACCAAAATGCAATTGCCTAAGACTCTTTCAAAGTGACTCTACCAACACTAGGCATATTTCCACTATGATAGCAAGGCACAGAAGAGTACATCAGACTTGTCAGCCCAATGAGACGACTCAGGAGCCTTTCCTAATGCTCAGGTGAGACAATGGACGTGTTTTGACTGGTTTCAGTGGGCTGTGGACATTTTTTAGCAGAGCTAGGAAAGACACAATGAAAAAAATATGGCCATATCCTAATTCAGATGATGGATGTGTTATCATCAGTTATTCCCAGGCCTTTTGTCTCCTGCAGGATCTGGGTGTCATTTATTTCTAGGTGGGGTGAAACATGACCGGTGCAGGTTAGTTTTAATGGTGATATGGACTCAAAGCTGTTGCATCCTCCTCAGAGCGTTAGATATAAACAAACAGCAAAGAGATTTATAGGTATTGATTCATTCCATTGCCTTCTCTAGCCATGCAAGTATGAATCAGGAGTATAAGTGAGGAGCTGATGGGATGGGGAATTTAAACTTTCAGTCCTCTTTAGCTTGCTGAACTAGCCTCATGCAATTATTATAAGTGAAGGCTTCTTTGACCAAAGATATTGCAAATATTTTCTTGGCATGACAGGAGGGATGACTTGTGTGCTCACGTATTCATTGTAAAAGGAGAAAGGATTCTAAAACAACTAAGAATGTAAATTGTATATCAGACTGAGTCAGATAAAAGCTGTTTACTTGCCCGTATATCCACTGTTTCATCATCAGCTCCTGAAACACTGAGAGAAGAAGCAGGTGGGAGAGTAAAGCTGGCAGAGCTGGAATTGGAGATATTAATGGATGTGCCATCCATGTTTTCTGTTTGTAATCTATCCAGTTAGGGTTGGACACATGCAAAACAGAATAAAAGAGAGAGCAAAAAAAAAGTCAATAGCATGGACTTCATATCTAGAGAAAAAGCTTTCTCACTTCATGAGTAGAACTCAGCTGGAAAACTATGTCTAACTCCACCAGTAAATACTTCGTACATTATATTTCCCTGCTGTTGTACTCCACATAACACTACCACAGAATCATCAAAAAAGGGTGGAATTGGTGTATGTGGATAGGAAGTTGTACCCAACTAGGGGTACTTATGTGAAAGACGTACCTGGTTTCTGTGTGAATATGCTCTTGATTTGAATGCATAGTTAAATGTGGATGAAAACCAGGCTCTTGGGGAGCAATTTATGGATGATTATAGGGAAGGAGAATGCTTGTGAGGTTCCTCATGCTTATATTTGCTTCTGCCAAGGTGGTTACAATTCTATATAACATGTCATTATTGGCAACTTGGAAAAGAAAAAAAAAAACCTTAACTGGCATGACCTGAATTTTTGAAGGTAAGCAGCTACTGCCTCATCCAGGAAATAGTAGTAAATTCTCCATTGGCCAAAAAAGACACAGCATGAGAATTTCTAAGGTAGCTTCATTGAAGCTTATTGGAGTCCAAGCTGTTCTTACTACAGTTAGTAATGACACCCTCTTTGCACTGTTGAACTTGTCCTTATGCTGCAACGTTTAGTTGGGTGTTACCATTTCGGACAAAGTAATGAATATTTGGGCAAATGTGATTAACCCTGAGAAGGCTGGGTGGGAGACGCTGTTACTGTTACCTGTGTATGTACATGGTGGCAGAAGGAGTGGTAAGGACAGTTGGTTCATCATCCGGTTCTTTCCCCAACAGAAGGGCACTCTGTAGATTTTCAACTGTATTCAGGAGCTGGTGTGATACTGAACTCTGGAAAAGGGTTAGAGAAGGAAACTTGCAACAAAGCTTCTCAGAATCATTAAGTTGCACATTATTTGCCTTTATTTCCTTTTAGGAACAAATACTAATTTTTAGTGTCTTAGAAAGCTGGTCAACTTGGTGATGTGCTGCTTAATCTCAGAGAAAGTTATTCTAATCAGCAATTCAATTTCTGTAATTCTCATTAAAACATTGCAGACAGCAAATAAATATATCTTACAGCTTTAACTTTTATATTCTATTACTTTCAAGTTCTACACACTGACATTTGAAGCACTACAAACATGACATCAATTTAATGCAATATACTCCTTCACTTCTGTACATTAATGCCCTTTAACTGCACACTTCAGAGTTAAGTTAGTTGCAAAAGCAAGACCTAATTACATATTAATTGTGTGTTATCCCGGGGAAGTTTGAACTATTCATAACCTTTTCTCTCAGGTTAGATATATTTCATGCCCTACTTCCTTGCAGTGATGACGGTTAAAGTATGTTCAGCCCAGGAAGCACACTGTGCACACTGTGACAATTCATGGATAGATAAGAAAGGATAGAACAAAATAAACACCTTTCATAATCTTGAATAAAAAATCAGAGTGGGCTTTCTGAAAAAGTATGAGCAACAACCAGAGCTGATTCCAGCTTTGAAGTGGTGGAGCGAATCATGAATATTGAATACCTGTGGCTTCCTTGAATTATGAAGCAAAAGGAGGGGATAAAATCAAACCTGAAAAAATCTCTGTGTGCTTGTCATCTGTTAGAGGTTGTGCACTGATGCTCTGTTGTCCAGTGCTCTCCTGTCCAACTTTAAATGTAATAAATCTTAAGAGGCTTCTATCATCTTCATTAGCATACTGTGCCATCTAACAGGTCTGACTGGGGAGGAGTTTCCTTTGATATTCAAGTCCATCATGGTGTCACAATGAAGCCAATTTAAAAATATGAGAGGCAGCAGAACTCTTAAAAACCTTCTAAATGAGCAAATGTTCACACACGGTCCACTACAAACTGGACGAAACCAAAATTACCTGTTCTGCTTCTGGCACTGAAGTGTTCGTAGCTTTGATTTCTATGGAAGCCTTAAGGACATTGCTTACTGCATTAAATAGGTAGTTGGCTGCATCTTTTAACTTCTGATCATCTCTGCTGTCCTCTGTGTTTACAGTGAGCAAGGAAGCACTGACATCTTTGAGAGTGTTGCTAGCTTCCACCTGCATGGGAAACAAGAGGAAAAGTTGATATGCCTTGGTACTACAAATGACAGAAGTGACACGTGTCATTTATTGAGTATTGCAATGTAAGTGATCTCGTGGGACTACTTCTGGCTAATGCTGGTTTTACTATAATAATTTGTGATGGGGTAATGCTTCAAATGCCAATAGAGATGATATACTACGTGGTATACTAACATGTACTTCAGACCTGAAAAATGCAGCCTGCTTCTACAGATTTAATTCATAAAAAACATGAATAACATCTGAAGTAAGCTTGGCTGTCAAACACTGGGCAAGAATACAGTTTAGATGTACAGTAATGTAGTAAATTAGGTTATACTTTGGGTAGCGTGTCCAAAAAATGCCACCATTTTGTCAAGTGCATGTGCATTTCAATCTTAGTTTCCACAAACCCCATTGGATTAACAGCAAATAATACCTTTGGCCTTGTGCTGTGCTAAATGCCAAAAGAGAATGAGTTTTACAATTTTTATTTCATGCCCAAATGCTGGTTTCTCTGTGTTTGTGAAAGCATTGGCCAGCTTTTAGCCCAGGGGGGTGAGGGAGCCAAGAAAATCCATTGCAAGCTTGGACATATCCATTCCCACCGTCTGCAAACACTTAGCAGCCTTACTGTGGGGTGAGTGCTGAATCTCAGCTATGTTCTTGTCTTGCCAACGTTAACCACATACTGCTGAAATGCTCCCAAGCCATTGTCTGCCTCCAACTGTTTAATACATCAGAAATCAGGACAGCTCTTTTTATTGCCAGCGTATCTGGGAGACTTCCCCAGTGACAGTTTGTTCTCTCCTCCCATGTGCTCACTCCTTATGCGTAAATAGCATAATCTACTAATAATGTCATATTGCCAGATAAAATTCAAGAAATATTTTTGTGAGACCCATCTGAACATTTGTGCCCAGTTCCTCTGGATGCTCTCATGTTCCTGCCTCACTGACATCTTGCCTATGTGCATTTTGTGACAGTGCATGGATCAAGGACTAATGGATCTGGGCAATTCTAGAAAAACCCTCCTGGACTCTTTTTCTTAAGGATTCTAAGAGTGCTTTACAAGATGACATATACATCCTAACATGCCTCTGACTAAAAGTTAAGGTTTCCATCTTAAAGATGTATCATAAAATGTAACTGGCCAGACAGTCATGGCCTGGATTGTAGCGGTTGCTGAGATAATGTCTGAGAGCCCAAATTCACTTACCCTGAACAGCAAAATGTATTCCCTTCTGGTCAAAATACACATGCTGGTACAGTTGAAAAAATGGGTAAAGAGCAGATAACTAAGGCACTGAAACTCTTCCAAGGTCAGTGGGGTGCAGGAGATACAAGATGAATTGCTTCTTACCTGTGCTGAGACAGACAGCTCTTCACTCCTGTAAGTGATTTCTTTCAATACTTCTGACATCTTAAGAGCAGTCTGCACTGATGTTACGTTAACAGCAGAGAGAGTTGTCAGCATCAGCCCTCGGAGCTTGGGATGAAAAGGGATAATTAGGCAAAGGAATAAGATGCTAATTAGGACTGTGCAAGTAGTGCTGTATATTGACAGCCAGGCTTGCTGTAATTTATGTTGTAAAGTAGGACTCCACAACAAGGATCATTTGAACTGATATTAGGTCTACTGACAAGATGCCACTTGGCTTAGCAACTATATAATCACGAGTTTTGTGTTACCTCCCAACACAAAGAATTTGTACACTTAACGTCCGTTAATAGCAAGGAGAGTTACTTGTGAGAATTTGTACCAATGTATGTGAATTACTGTATAAATGCCACTTCCAGAGAAAGCAGAGCCATGTGTGATTGATGTTATGCAAATAATGACTCATAATTGAAGGATACATTGCATTTCTCTAGATCTTTTCATCTGAGGCACTTGAAGCACTATACAAACATAAGCTTATAACTGAAACATAAGCTGGTAGCTGAAAGGAACAGACTGCAATTACCTGCTATCCAGTACTTTTTGGGAAAATTAGGATATTTCTCCTGTAGGAGAGGCCATTTTACTAATATTTAAATTGTTTGTGGAAGATCAGGTCGATTTAAAGTTTAAAAATATCATTCAAATGATTTTAAGTTAATGCAATAACAATTGAGAATAAATTCTTTTACTGATGGATGGTAGAATAAATTATTTATGTGGGTAAATAGTGAAAAATAGCTGAAACCTGTGCCAAACACTGAGACACATACCAGAAACTTGAAACCTCCATTGATTTCAAGTGGTGATATATGAGCTTTTTATTACTTAAGAGCTGTCAAAGAGTATGAAGGGTCCATTATATTGCATTGTACTGCAGGAACAGGAGTGTCTGGCTGACCTCTTTTCGTGTGTCCGCCTGTACAGATATGTTAAAGCTCTCCTCTTGGGTCTCCTGATTAAGGACTGAGGTAACTGACTTATACAGCTGGAAAAGGCTTATGCTGCTGTTCCCATCTTTTAGGATGGTGTTTGCCTTCTCGAATACAATCTCCTGCAGGGTCAGGTTCCCATCAGTCATATCTGCGTGTCCGACCTGATGAAGAAATCAGATACGTTCTTAGCTTTCCTAGTGCTGTTATAATTATCTTTGAAGAGCTTCCACGATCATCTTGTTGACAGCCTCGCTAGAGTGGGACACAGAACTTGGTGTTCCCCATTTTTGAAGTTTTATTTTTAGTGGCCTGATAAGAATATCCTTCCTGGGGCACTAGGGCAGCAGCAGGAGGTTTTGGGGCCTACATAGAGCAACGCCAGAATCACTAATACAGCTTATGCTGCCCAATGGCCAAATCTTTTATACTTCTATCCTAGAGAAAGGACAATGGAAGATTCTTTTAACTACCTTGAGTCCACTGAGAATAGTCTCTGTTAGACAGGAAAATGGTGATTATGGTACATCCAGAGGGAAGTAAAAAGCATAAAATGGGGAGAAGCTCCAAAAGCGAATCGCAGGTCATGTATTGAGTTAATCTTGAAATAAGATAATTCTGTGTACCTTCACTGAAGCATTCGTTTGAACTGTATCACCATAGTTGTTGCTAACGGTGATTGTCATATGTAAAATGAAGTTATTTTCCTTTTCTCCAAGTGGAAGATAAACTGGGAAGAGTTCAGGATCTGGGCCACAGTGCAGGAGAGAATCTGAAAGAGGAAAAAGGGGGTCATCTACCAGATACCACAAAGGCACCACAGGTCCTCCAGGAACAGGGGGCTCTGGGCTTGCTCTCTGGAGGCCTGATTGTCTCTCTGGGGAGCAGAAGCAGGCTGTGCCTTTGCTCTTGTTAGCGACAGCAACAAGTGCTTGCTAGAAATACAGAGAAGCATTTAGCCAAACAGCTCACCTCGGGACTTACTTGATTTCAGGTAGAAGCAGTATGTGAGCTGCCTGTTAGGACTGGCTTGGCATGAACCCACCAAGCAAGGAGCGCTGCAGGAGACTCTGAACGTGGTGAGCGCTGAGCCCTGCCTGGGAGACACGGCACAAGCGGGGACGTCGGGCGGAGGCACGGTGCTGACGAGGTACGTTTCCTCCCCGTAGCCACCCTGAGTCATTGCTGGGAGCGGAGGGAGCAGAACGTCAGCAATAATCGTGCCCCGGGCGGCACTGATCTCCAGACATTCATCTTGCCTAGTCTAGCAAAGATGCCGTCTGTTCAGGCACCAGAAACACCAGGGTGGGCCTAATCAGAAATGAAATCCTGCTACTGAGTAAGCCATAAGAGGAAAATAATTTATAAAAACGTGGTAGTGTTTGCATTATAAAGCAAAGCTCTGTTATTTGATCAAGTATTTAGCATAACTTCATTTCCAGATGAGCCTTAACAAAGTTATTAACAGATTGGAGTAAGATAACTGAATTTGTCCTCCTGTGTAATACCCCAGAACAAACTTAGCTCTGAATTATTTTCAAGAACCCACATACAAAAGCAACAGCTCTCAACTTGTGGAATGATTTAACTTATTTGTCAGCGAGGCTATGTGTGTGTAACGTCAGTGTGATGTCATGATGGCAGAAACTATCTCAGAGTCTGAAAAACCCTGCTTGCCCCTACCTGTTACTTTAATCTGAAAAGCTTCTCCCTGTGTCTGCAAGAAGGAGCTGTTCATTTTCAGTACGGATGTGTTGCTTTGAAGCAAATTCAAAGAGTTCTGCCGGAAACCAGTCAGGCCACAGGCTAAAGGGAGGGGCATAGACTGGAAAATCAGACAGAAAAGAAAACATGACAGTAGAGTCTCTTTGCTGTTTTTTCTCTGGTGATTTATCAGGAGCAGGGTGGTGGTTTGGTGCCCTTCATTATAACCCCTCCCAAACCTGGCACCCCCTTGTCTTGATGTTCACTATTCTTTCCAAAGCATCCATTTGACAAAGTATCACTCTGAGGCCACGTGGCGCTCCCTCAGGATGGATGTTTATTTTTGTGTGTGCAGTATTTCTGACAAAGCTGATGCTCTCACCTTGGTTTGGAAAGTGTTATCTAAATACCAGTTATAATATATGTCCTTGGAGTCCTTCTGTCCAGAGACACTCAAAACAACATCATCACTAGCATTCACTGGATTGCAGTTTGCCTCACACCTGTAAGGAATTAAGATGATAGTTACAAGTAGTAAGTGGATGAGATGTCATAGTCCTTGATGTTGATTGTTTTACTCTCATTTGATGAAAATCTGCAAAAGCTCTGCAGCATGGGACAGGTGACACATGACTCACAAATAGCTAAATCCTTGATTTTAAAGCAAGAGATTTAAGAACCTTCATCTCCATTTTCAATATGACTAAGGCCCAGAACCCACAAAATATTTATGTTGCAAAACTGATTCAGTCTCTCAAATTAAGCCTGTCTCTACTTAAGCTCCTGAAATTATTATATTAGCAGATCATTGAAATGCCACTGCTTTTCAGTGAGGCACTAGACACTTGAGGAACAGATTTTTTAAAGCAGTAACGTGTATCTGGCTGTCTAGTAAGAATTTCAGACATATCATGGCTTTTATTCCCATTGTTTCAATGAGGTGTGCATATGGAAATCTCCAACATTGAAAGGATGTAGCAGGGTCAAAAACTAAATGGTTTTGAGAATAATTTTATTCAGTTTATAAAAGGATTATGTTCAGAAATGTGGTCACAACAAGACTCATTTTGTCTGTAATTCCTGTGATGGTAAAGTATAAATAGATTTACAACAAAAAGTACTTTATCACTTTATTATAATTATTATTGAAAACTGTAGCCTTCCACTATATTTGTGTAATAATAATATTAACCAGTGAATACTCGGGTTTAAAAACAGACCTGATTTCTACTTGCAGTTCTTGTTTTGCAGTCACATAGAGACATTGCTCGTCCTGCCTCTCCTCACCATCATGGTTTTGAACTGTAACTCTGACAGTCACTGCTGATTTTGGAGGAGGAAGGCAGGAAGGTGGGATTTTCACCTCAGTTTGGTTGGTTAGGATTATCTGTTGCTGCACACATTTGTTCCATTCAGGCCAGCAAGCTCCTGCAAAACATTTCCTTTATAATTAGAATAGTCATAACATCCCATGCCTCTTATAAAGTATTTTTCTGCAATAGATTTCAAAGAGCTTCATAGAGGAAACAAGTTTCCTGAACCCTATTTAAAAAGTGGGTCATCAGAGTTCAGAGTATACAGATTCTTCGGGGTAACGTACAAGGCCAGGGATAAATATGGGGACAGAGCACAGATGTCCTGAATCTCAACCCAGTTTACAGCCATAAATGTTTTTGCATTATATTTGATGCTAATTATTGCTGTTTTATTAAGACACATGCACCTTGCAAATGCCTAACTATGGAAATCACCTGGGATTAGTTCTTGGCTATGAGGGTGAGGGCTTAGGATGGGCAGATCTTGAAAAACTGAAATCTAAGAGTAGCCACCCTTGGAAAAAGACAAAAACTGAGTATTATGTCAGATTATATACCATAATTAGTTGAGTGTTAAAACCAGGGTAAGGTAGAAGGACATTCTTCATGTACAGTGAGTGGCAAACTTTAAAGCCAGAGAGTAAACCATCCTTTAGTCAGATTTCCATCACTTGATCTGACATGACAGTGAGTTTGTCACTTGACAAATAGAAGTTGGTGGAAAAGTTCAGGAAATGCACATACCACAGGACCAGAGAAAACTGGAATTATTGTTGTCTGGCCAGCCAAATGTAACAGTTGTGAAAGGATCCACATGGCGACTCGGTTTAATATATATTTTGTTTTTTCTTTTGTGATCCTAAACAATAAGTAATTGTATCAGTTAGGAGCATGTATAAACACATACGTCTCTTGCTTCTTTATAATGAAAAAGGTCTGAAAGATGAGACTCCAAATCACTGCAAGCAGATCTGTAGTTAAATGATCTTTCCCTGATCAGTGGTAGTGTGGCAGTAGAAGCTATGGGAACAGAAGCAGATGGCACAGACAAATTGTGTGGCAAAATATTCCTGACCTCCTAAGTGGCTTAGGACCCCAGATTCCATTTTCAAAACTAAAGCAGGTACTTAGGAAACTAATTCCCAATAATTTGCCACTTCTGGACCGAGACTTTTAACCCTTGGACAATCTTTTGGCTTCTAGTACATTTTCTAGGGCACTCCTGTTTTTTGTCTGAATTGGATACATTACAGCTATAGATAAAGAGAAGAAGGAGGTAGCTGAATTAGTCTTTCTGTGCAATGAACTGCGATAAATTTAGTTTTGAATTGGATTTATTTTCCTCTGATGCACTTTATAGTCAATCTGTAAAGCATGAAGTCTTCTTGTGAAGCAGCATGTCTCCTATAGCAGACATCTGTCTGCTAGCGTTATGGTTAAAAACTAGACCTTTAAAATGACAACAAATTATTGTATCTGGCAATTTTATTATTTAAATTTGTGCAGCTGCTACCAATTGGTGTATCATTAGTTTCTCAGTTTGCCATAAACTGGAAATTTCTTCTTTGCAAACTTAAACATTCCAATACAGAAGCAGGAAGCACTTAGAAACAATATAAAAATATATTAAACTCTGCTTGAAGGGTAATCCCCCAAAGAGAGGTTTCCATTAGTCAAGTAGATAACGCAAAAATTCATCTAAGCACATTTCAACTTCCAAAACTAAATCATTGTGAAAAGTTCATTGTTTTCTAATCTTGTAATTGTTACTTGCAGGCTTTTACAAACTGTAGATTGAATGCCTGTAAACACATCTGTTTCAGAGACTCTTAGTTATTTTATGTTAAACCATATGGGGCACAGCAAATCTAGTCTATAATCTAGTCTGCTACTAATACTTCTTTTCAATATCTTATGCAGCATTTTTACTGGTAAGAAAATTTTCTAAGCATTTCAATTTTAAAGAAAGATCCTTAAATAATACTTACATTTGTCTTTGGGGTACTTGTTTTGGAGTTGCCTTGTTCTGTAGCAGAATCTATTTAATGAAAAAAAAAGAGCAGAATATTTTAGTGCTCTCTGTAAAGCTTTCAGACATCCTCAGAGAATATAACTTAAATACACAGAATTTGACTACCGACAGTCTGAAAGGTAGGGCTATAAGAATCAGACTCCAGAACTGTGATAAACAGTCAAGTTACAATAGGTAAAATCGTAACAACAAGCTAGTCACAAACTATAAAGAAGGTGATCCTGATTCTCCAAACATAATGGTGTGAATCAAAATAAATTCACAGAAGCTGATGGAGTTTCATCGATGTACGGAAAAAATTGATGGAAAGCACTGGAAAAGTCTCAATAGGGTTAGTACTAAAATCAGTTTATTCCTGGTATGTAAGGATGAGCCATCTAGAAGCATTCACTGACAGCAATTTATGAGACTGCTGTGATGCAAATATTTCCTGGTTTTGGAGCTATGTCCCAAGCCATAAACTCCACTAATTATTTCTAGAACAAATAGCAAATGTGCAATGTGTGACATACACAGTGATGCTAATTTATGACTACTTCAAAGCCAGGGAATCTGCCTTCATCAGGAAGAAGCCTCCACAAAATTTTGTAGCACTGTTGCTGGAAGGAAAGCAATTACTAGATGCAAACCATAAACACTCCATGAAATGCTCTGATTGCAAAAAGACAATTATGTTGTCAAAACCAGCACTGTCAGATTAATGCAATTACCTTCTTTATAAGAATTATTTGCCAACACAGTGATGAACCCAAGATCCAGACTCATGTTTGAGAAGGCATTCATGGCCACCACTTTCACTAGGAAAGTACCTAGAGAAGACAAATGGCCAGTTAATAGCAGTGGGACCTGTCTGTCATGTTTGGGATATAAAATCCAATTCATAAAGAAAATTCTAGTCTTCTCTGTTCAGAGCTTCAGGGGTTTTTTGATGAGTTTCCACTACTGAAAGGCTTTTCAAGGAATGTTCTTCCTCTTTATCTCAGCTTTTTAATAACTCAGCTGCCTTTGTCCCAGCACTTGCAATGTTATTCTTTGTCAGCTGGCTATGATGCTACCACCCAGGAAACTAGAGGTGTGCTAATGCTGGAGTACAAATGAGTTTAGGCATCTTGCAAGACCAGCTGTCTTGTTTGAAAGTTTCTGCCTGAAGGGAAGGGATGTTCAAATGGATACAAGGAAACCCAATAAAACTTTTAATATTGAATAATTTTAAAACATAAAATGAAATCATAATTAGCTTCTAGCACTCCAGCTTTGGCATGGAATTTGAATAGTTCATTAGAGGAGGAAATATTTTTGTCTTCTGCCACTGAATTAACTCTTAAAGACAATCTCATGAATCCCACATTTTAAAAGGTTTGATTTTTTAATAATGGAAAGAAAACATTACTAAAAAGCTTATGCATAAGTAAGTTTGTATTGGAGACTGCCACACAGAAAAGCTCCCCATTTCTTTGTCATCTCTACTGAGAACTCCTCAGATTATTAATTACTGCAGTGTAAAATGCAGAGGAGTGTAAACTTGAAAAGTTATACATATGAACAAACAGGAGGAAAACACTTTGTGATTCACACAAATGTCATCATTTGTACTTGAATCAGATCATGTAATGAAAACTAAACTATGTCTTTTTTATTGCAAAAATCTGGTGAAGCTTTGCTTTCGCTCTCCATGTGGAGAACCCATTTGCCAGTTCAATTTTTTTAGCTCACCTAAAAATCAATAAGACCGTGCTGGTCATACTGTTCTGCAGACCAAGTCTGAGCAGCTAGAAACGCAACCGAATTCAGCTGTACATTATTGTCCCTTAGTCCAGGGTGCCATGGCTGTTTATGTGAACATCTCTACTCAGTTGTGTCTTAGAAATACAGAAGATATCAGCATGCTGTACCTTCAGAGTGGATGGGAATGATGTACGTTCGAGGCTCCCCATGAGGGCCATCTTCATTGTGAGAGTGAGTTTCATTAGATCCAATCACCTCAAACTTCAGCTTATCTGGGGTGCCGTGAGACACAGAGACATTTATCTCCAAATTCTCCCCCAGCTGCAGAGTGTGAGAAGCTAATGCAGCCTGAAGACCAGATACTGGCTCAATGAAGTGAACAGCAAAGCTCGCAGAGATCTCCAATGCGGTTGTGTTGCTGGATGCTCGGATTTCCAGCTGATGTATCCCTGGGCCTAGCAGCTCTTGAGTGGCACTGTCCAGTGTCAGATTGTGAGGGACAATTCCTTCCTTTGCACTGGATTCAGCGAGTGTCATGTTATCTGCTAATATAATGTAGGACACACCATTGCCTGCAAAAAGACAGTTCAAAGTTTCTCACAGCTTGTGTAATAGGCCATCCGGTTCTAGCTGCATGTGCAGCGTTCAGGTGTTTATAGAAGAGTCATAAGAACACTGTGGCAATACAGGATTTTGTGCCCCTCCAGGTTCCTTATGGAAGTCTATCATGTGTTTTCTGCTGGGAGTGTTAGTGCACTCAAGAGAATTCAAAATATGCTACTGAATTTTATTTTTTAAGCATATATGTGGCTGCCAGGAACTTGAAGTGAGAAAAAAATATGTATCAGCAAATGTTACCAGCTCAGCATGGAATCTTCTTACCTTCAATCAGAGAAACATTTCTGTAGATTCCTAACTTCAAATATGGATATATTCCTACTGGCCTCCTGTGGATTCATGTGAGTAAAATTATGCTCATGCTTTGTCAGCTTTTTGTGGAAGGAAAAAGGATTCATACTTATGTTTGAGATCGTGTAATAGCTCTGAGAAAGAACCCCTCCAATAGAGCTGAGAGCATTCAGTTGCAGGAATGCAACAATTAGAGGGAAAGCATTCACTAAAAAGAAGTATTGTTTTGCATAATGAAAATCCTGCTTCTATCCCATGGGCAGCATAATATTTAGCCTGCTGTTTAAATCGTGCAGAGTAATTAGCCTCACCTCCATTGAGTTCAACTTGAATCGACAACAAGTCCCCATACAGCGTACGGCAGAACGAGCTGTTCCCAGTTTCATACTGGCTATAGCACCCAGTAATGCGCAGTTGATCCATCTTATCTTGAACAGTCACCCGCTTCTGTGCCATCACATGCCATTCGCTGGTGGTGCATTCCACAGAAAGAGTAAATTCTCCAGGAGATGAATATCTATATGTGACATTGCTGACCAGTCTAGAATAGAAAGAGAACAGCTGCTTGTTGTGGAAGACTGTCCTGGGAAGCCTTATGTGCTGATAGTCGTCACAGTTCCCAAATTTCTGACCTGACTGAGCTCTCCTGCAATCACTGTAATCCCTCATTTATTTACATAGATTATTTGGGGTTGAAGATTGTTCCTTTGTTCCAGCTATGGTGTCATTAAGGGTGAATATCAGGGGTGGTCATTCTCAAAGTATAACTATTAGGATGGATACATTTTCTATGAAGTAGGTACATTACAGTTCCATAACACGTGGCATTAGATCTGGCCTGTGTGTTGTTGGCTTTGAGCACAGACATATGACTATGCACTTTAGAACGGGTAACGGTGCCCTTAATTTCTCTATTCTTGATTTTATTCCCAATTTACCATCTCTTAGGTGTATCTGTGAAAGCTGAGGCTGCTCAGCATTTTGTTAGAGCAATCCCTTGCTCTTTTTGTATTTTTATGTGCAGCTGCTTGTGTACTTGCTTATGCTGGCAAAACCATCTCTTCCCAAAACCACCTCCTGGATCTGGTGTAGCTCTGGTCTTGATAGCAATAGGAGATGAATGGATATGAAGAAGTCTGTGGTAGCTGCTATTATTACTAACAAGCACAGGGAGATGGTAAAAAGAACTGAAGGGTATCCTTCTTGAACAACATACACTATGGAGGGCAAATAAGTAATATTCCTGACACTATTCTCTCTGAACTATTTATGTTCTTGCCATGGTATCACCTAGTAAATGCAAATAAAGATCAGGACATATTATTCTTGATATTTTTCATTTGCTGTTGTATTGAAGAAAAAGGTTTCATTCTAACTGGACTTCAGAAAAATGGCAATGACAAGACCAGACCAGAAAAGGCAATCCCTGTAAGAATGGGTATCAAACTGGACACAGAAAACAGATGAGCGTGACTGCCGGCCATTTAGTAGGTGAAGGAAAAGGGCTTCCCAGAAAAACAGCCAGCCTGTCCTTAGAGCTAGCAAACAGATTTCACTTAAAGGTTCACTATCAAAGATTTTTTTTCCAGTTTCTTAACAGCTGCAGGCCTGTGTCTGTAGCTCTGAAATAATTTCTGTTTCTTGTATGTTACTACTTTTGGGGTTTTGTTCTTCTACTCTTAGTTTTCTAGTTGACTCAGGTAGGATTCCATAAGTGGACAAATAAATTTCTAGAGCCATTCTCTGACACTCATAGCACTAGGGCAAAATCTGTTTTTTAAATCCAGCAGAAAAATGTTTGATCCTTCAAAGATACAATTTTAATGCAATTACAATAAAAGAAAAACTCCAAAATGCCATTGAATTATTTTAAATGTTATTTAAAAATACTCTTTAGGCTTAAGAAAACAATGCTTGCCTGTTTCTTTGGCAATTACTGACATGTTTTCAGTAATTTTGTCTGCTTAGGATCTGGAATAAATTCCCTCAGTAAGAAATGTGAATCATATTAAGCAGAAGAAAGATTGTGGTTGGCAGCGTGACATAAAATTTTGTATTAATTTCAGAACAAGTTTCTGCAGAATCCAAGTGTCTTGTATGTAGGGTCTATTATTAATCTAGTTAATATTTGACATCTCATTTAAGATACTTGACAGTCAATAAAATGCAAGCAGCGAAATTCACTGGTTGTCTGATGATACATGAAGGATATATCTTACGTTAGAGGGTAGTAAGGATCAATAGCGTGGCCATCTCCAGTGCTAATGATGCAGGAAAGGTTGCCAGAGTATGGAGAGAGCAGCCAGTTCAAACTGACTGTGATATTTTCAAAGACAAAGCATGTATCTGTTACAAGCAGCTGCAGACCTGTAAAACATAATGACAGAATTCAATGCCATTGCTTGTCTCCAATTTTTACATAATTCAATTAATTTTCATGTACTGAGAGCAGGCCTTCTCCAAAACTGAGTTGATACTCCTGCTAATTTGAACGCATTAGTGGTGTGAGAAGGAGCTGATTCTTTTCCGTAGCTACTGGTCAAGATTCTTGTTGGGACATAATTTCATTTAAATGTGTTTTTCTGTTTGAATTCCATGGTGTTGTGTCCTATTAAAAACCCTCAGGAAGGACAGGGAAGCTATATTTTTGTGCCTGTTTTTAGTGGTCACCACTCTTTCAGGTTCTTCCCTGATGATGGAGCAGTGATTTGTAGGATAAATATCAATGGTCACAGTTTTACAGCAAAGAGCAGAACAAGCTTTTGGTGTTGACAGCCCCCTCCCACTTACCTTCCTTGCAGTGGTACTGAATAGACAAATAGCTTCCAGATGCTGGACAAGGGTCTCCATAGAAAATGCCATCCGCTGCCACCTGGCAGGCCTGAAGACCATGGCACTGGCCTGGAAAGAAGGACTGTTTTATATGAACTAGTGGGTTTTGTCTTTGACTGTCACAACAGCTCAGATGAGAGAAGATGACAGAAACAAAAAGGGGAGGGGGAAGAATATCACATCGCTGATTTCTAGACAACCTCCCACATCACTTTGAATTTAGTGTGTTGCTTATTGCCTGGTACAAAGCTGAATTAGAGGGCATAAAAAAGGAAGTTATGTATTTGGTTTAATTTTGGCTGGAAGCCCAAAGAATCACCATAGGGACAGGCTGTAGTCACTGTTTAGTCTGGCAAGCCATGGAGCGCTGTAGCTCCAGCAGGCTGTGTACTGCAGGCAGCAGCAGATCCCTTCCTGCCCTCCTGTCCCCATGGGTGCCAGCCCTTTCACCCCTCCTGGTTTGGAGGTAGGTTTGTATGGGTGTGTTCTCTTCCATCTCTGTCAAATCTAGCACCTCACATTGAGTTCATCGGGGAGTCTGTGTGCCCACATATTTTCTTTACGCAGTGAGAGGAACCCTTGTTCTCCATTTTCTCCCCTTCCCCTTCTCTGAATCTTTGCTCCTTGCAAAATCCCTCCTTTCCATCCAACCTGGGAGCCTCCTCCATGTTAGTAGTTCTCTGTGAATCCCTTCATTTTAGGAATAATCCACTTTCCTATTCACTAACTCTAATGAAATACAAGAGAAAATATTTTAGGGACCAGGGACTTTGGCACATACTCTACGCTTCTGCCGAGCAGTGCCATGAGATACTACCTGCTACTTCATCTGTGACACTGATCCAGCTACAGTCTTCATCTGTATCATACTGGAGGGGAGTCTCCGATACACAGTAGTGAGGGGTCTTCCGTCCATAGAAGCTCTCTCCAATTTGAATAACTTCTCCTGATCCACACTGTACAGTGGCATTGTAATTATCACAAGCAATGCTCTTGCCAGATTCTAATAGGAGAAAAAAGAATCAGAAATAACTCTTTGAATTTCTGATAAATCCTGCTACAATTCTTCTGCATATCCTGCTTTTTTTTTATCTTTCTTTCATTTTCTCCCTTTTAAACAATTAAGAAAATGAAAAGAAAAAAAAAAGAACAAAGAGTAAAGTATTTTTCCTTTTGTAAAACCCAAAGGAATAGATTTATGGCTTTTACTGCCTTTAAAGAAAAAAAAAAAAGAACATTTTCAGTAAACCAAAATATTTTAATTTAAAAAAAAAACATATTTTTGTGGAAAAAACTTAGCATTTGTTTGACCTGCAGTACTGGAAGGTTTAAAGTTACTCCTGATTTCTGAAAGAGCCTTTTGGCAGTGTGTGATTTGCATGATATTCAGGTAATTGCTCTGGAGAATAGTTTGCATATTAAATATGGGACCTGATCCCATTTCTGCTACAGAGACACCTTTGTTCCTGGGTGATATTTGGCTGACTTCATTCAGCAGAACTGCTCAAATGAGTAAGGTCATATCTCTAAATGCCTACATCTCATTCTTTGATTAATCTGGGACAGTTAATTATCTCTCAGAATTCTTAGTATCCTGTAGTAATCAGGATACTTAATACCTTGGAGAGGAGGATGCGAAAGACTGCTCTCATATGGGAGTGTTACAAAAGAATGTTTTTGTTTCAGCTGTCTCAGGTTTAAATACATTGTCCTCCAGTTGCTGGTTTGATCATTGCCCTTAAATACCTTGCCTAACAGTGCCAGTGTGTGCACACTGCAGTAATTGTGTGCTATTGTTATTTAAAGGCTAAATCTAAGCCTGGCTGTAACTATAGCAACATGATCAGTTTACAGATTAGAACTCTCTAAATAAGCTTGATAAAAAAATTTGCTGTTAAATTCTAATGCGGACTATCATCTCGTGCATTTCTTTGTTCTTTACTTTGTATAGAGTTCCCATAGTATTTGCTGTCTCAGCAACTTTTACTTGGAAAAATGTGCAGACCTGGTTTGTGTTCCTGTGTACAAACCCTGGTTCAGTAATTATATTTTTCATACAACAAATTGCTAACTTACGGAGCACCAAATGGCAGAATAGAAAAAATAAGAATTAATAAGAAGGAAAGTTCTTACTTTTGTTGAGGAACACTAATGCTAGGATAGATAGCCAAAGGAAGGGTGAAGGCAGAATGCAGTCTGGTTAGTTTTTGTACACACATAACTATCTCAGATGATCAAGTAGATGAGTTATCAGTATTCAGAGGTATTAAATTCCAACAGTGGTACCATTTGGAGCTACCTCTACATTCCATTTGAAGTTTCAAACTCAATGTTAATGTGAACCAAGCCTCAGAGCAGCTGGGTGTGAAGGTGTTAAGTATCGCTGTGCCTGTTTTACAGAGACAAACTGAAGCACCCACAAGTTTCGGGAACTTCCAAACATTCTACACCCAGAGAAACTAATGAAAATATTGTCCTTGTTTCTTTGGGATATCGGATCTAATTCCTTGCATGCAAAGAGGAGTCTACTCTGTTATTGAAATATGTATGTGTATTAAAGGACATGGGCTGTGGATACTGAAAACAAGGCTGTAATTGCCTCAATCTGTTCTCAGTTTCTTGGGTAATGGAATGATGGATGTAGCGAGGACATTGTTGCTCAATAATGCAAACACTCTTTGAATTTAATGGGCTTTAAGTTAGATCCTATGGTAACAGATGATAGCTTCCTTACAAACAGACAGTTGTCTACTGTGGCTGTAATGGAAAAATAATTTTAGTCTGTTTTTGCAAGGAAAATAAGCTTAAGGGATTGCACTGTCTGCCAATTTCACGTCCCCCAATCATTGTTAACGTTAGTCATCTTCAGCCAAATTTGATGTATAGATATAAGCCTCAAAATACCCTAAAATTTCATGAAAATTAATAGCTAGGTAAAAGAGCTACATCAGTGCCTCTATTAGGAGTAGGGATTATAACCTGATGTTTATTTGTTCCATGATGTGGGATTCAACTGTCCAGCACCTACGGCTGGAGCTCTGGAGCAGAACTGCAGGGGAGGGAGCTGGGAGAGGGAAAAGGATTTGCAGGGAAAAGGATTTGCAGAGGACGTGCTGGGGATGTAGGAGTGAACTGGGAGTGCTGAGGAGGAGGGTAGGGAGGGGATGTGGAACAGAAAATCAGGACAGGAAACAAAACTTTATTAGTTTTGCTGATTGTGGAACGACTTGTTAATTATGTCAGAAGTAGTACAGTACTGGAGCAGAACAGCAGCAATTCTAGGGCTTGTGGTAACCTGTACTCACAGACTGGATTCGAAAACTTTTTATATTAGTGACCCGAAGCCAGACTGTCCTTCCCGTGCTCATGACCTTAGTTCTAGCTACAGTTCAAAATGCTTGGCTTATGTGCAAAGTGCGAGGAACACAAATTCCCCTCCTATCTATATGTTGAATGGGACAATACTGTCAGCATTCCTTTCCAGGACTGTTTGTTCCAGGTCATAATTTAAGGGACACAATGTCTGTAAATTTTCTGTCTGAGCACTGAAATGCCACCAGGAAGTACAAGTTCCTGTCTGCTGCCTTATCCCAGGGAAGGCCTCAAACTTCACCTGATGGAAGGGTCTGAGAAGAAACAAGAAAAACTTGCTCTCACTTTTGCTTACTCTATGCTGCTAGGAGTGGTGTCTCTGAAAGCCTGGCTGTATTTTTGCTTCAGTGACAAATGGAAATTATTTTGGCACATATTTATGATTAAGAGTATGTTTACAGGGTCCCACCTAGCTCAGGTACTACGGTGTTGTGGGAGTTTATTCTTGCAAACATGCTCTCATGCACTACTCAAACTGGCTTTAAACTAGCTAGCTTATGTCTGCTGTAGGCATGGACTGCTACACATTTAGATTTACTCTTGGATCCACTTCTATTTTACTAGCCCTTTATTGGAAACCTGGACCTTAATGGCTAGTTGCTGAGCCCCTACATCTCTCAGCAATTCCAGGGTTCTTCTTTCTTTGAATCAGATCTTACATCAGCACACTAGAAAAAAGAGCACCTGCTGGGGTTATATGGCTTCTTGCTTGTTCACTTTTAATAAGCTCTGTTAAGTTATTACGCAGCCACTTTGAAAGTAACAAGGCAATTTATGCACAGTTGTGAATGTGGCATGCTCACTTCTCAGTTCCAGCTGTTATATATCTTACCAAACTCGCAAATGAAGTCAAATTCCTGGCTGCAATTGTCAGTCACACCCCACTGATACTTGGCATTCTTCAGGATGTACCCGCATGTGGATGAGAAGGGAGATGGCTGATCCTTGTACCAGTTACTGTAGCTTATGTTTGAGGTGTCCAGCCAAATCATTGACCCTGCAAACAAAATAATCATGTCCCAAATGTTTATTTTCCACAGTAACACCATTACAGAATCAGAGCCTGCAGAGCAGGACTGTATCCCTATTCCTGCTGAAGCAGAGGTGGTTTTGTCCACGTAGGGATCTTCAATTACATTTTATATTTAACCTGATATAACCACTAAAAGAGACACCACCTCTTCCCCCTGCACTTCCAGACTCAAGATTCTACCATTTCCCTTGCATCAGATCTTGCAGCGCTTCCTAACGCGGAGAATTGGCTCAGCTGGCTCTTCCACTGGAGACCTAAACCCAGCACATTTTTTTTTTCACTGGGTCAGCAAGCTGATCTAATTCACTGTGTGCTCACACAACCGCAAGATCTGATGGAAAGGGTGACAACATGCAACTGGGAAGTGAAGCAGGCAATTAAAACATCTGAATAGAAATCTGAAGTTACAGCAACAAAAGACAGTGGCTTTTCAGCAGAAGTCTACAGAGGGACTAATTGCATTTGTTATCATGTTAAGTGAGCATCATGGGCTGGCACATTTTTAAAGAAGACATGATTTCAAAACCACCTACCGTCAGTAGTTTCATTCAGCATGGAGTTTGAGATCAGTCCTATCCACCATTCCTGATCCTCTGCAATGTGCTTTTGCAAGAACTCTTGAGTTTCCTCATTTTCAATAAAGATGAGGTGCCCTCCTCCTCTCTCACACCAGCTCTGGGCACTTGTGAAGGAACGCTGGAGTCTCACAAACTCATAGCACGAATGGTTGAAAGCTACCTGGTACTTTGAGCAAGGGATTCCTTCATCCACGGTTGCTTCCTCCACAGCCAAACATACAGCAAGAGAAATTAGAATGGCGATCCCAAGCCACATTCTCAGCTCAGTGCCCTGTGTGGCACTCGTCTTGCTTAGCACACCACCACGCTTTTTTCTGCCTTCTTCAAAAGCTTGGGATGTCATCCTTGTCGTGTCATCAGCCTTTCTCTTTCCTCTTTGCTGCTTGCGACAGCAGCAGTGATAGAACACGGAACAAATCGCTTCCAATATATAACAGTGATTGTGTCTGAGGATACACACAACAAGAGTTGATGCAAAATCACTGCAATGGCCATTGTGAGGCCTATTGTATAAATGTCTCATTCCATGTGAAGTCAGTTTGAAGAGAAGACATTAGAATATTGCTTTCCTCATGAGCAGAGGAGATAAAGTTGATATATGCTGCTGTTGGACATGTGGGAAAGTAAGATAAAGCTCCTACATCGAAGGCATCATTGTATGAACATAAAAGCTGGATCAAAGAGATACAATGTAAAAATGGGAGGAGAATGAGGAAAATGGAAATACAAGGAGTTATGAGATAGGAAAACACACAGTGCTCTTGTAGATACATTTCATTGGTTTAGGTTGCTTTATTTTTAATAATTATTATTTGAGGTGCTTCTTTTGGATGCTAATTTTTTGAGGTGCTTCTTTCAGATGCTAATGCAATGTCTGTAACTACTGTATCGTATTAATCCTGTCCACCTGTTTACACATAGGCAGCTTAATCTCAGCTGACCCAAGTAAGCTTTGTTTTGAAGCATTGTGTCTATTTAGAATTCCACACCCCAAAAGAAATGCTCCCATCATCCCTTAAAAGCTAAGCTGCTTAGCTATATAGATCTACAGTATTCATACCTGCTAGGAGGCAAAAGAGAAGGCCAAAAGTTAAAACAGTGATTTAGAAAAGATTAAAGTATTGCCTTAATCATCAGAACTACTTGGGAGGCCTGTGTGCACATTCCAAAGGCTGCTGATGGACTTTGGGAAGGCAGCCCAGCAACATTTAGGAGCTGAAATCCCTAAGTGCTTCTGAAATTCCTTACAAAAGATACCAATCAGGTTTATAAGGCCACTGGATTAACAGAAATACAGTACAAATACGGATCTTTAGCTATTGCAATCTTCCTGTTCTTGGCATTAACGCCATTGAATTTGATGCAATTATTATTAATTTATACCACGATAACCTGACACTGAAAGAGCACGCGCTTATATTTAGACGTGGATCAGCGAGCCAGCTACTGCATCACAGAGATGCAGGAAACAGGGATGTTTGGTTGAATTCCTGCATTGCAGAAATGCCACCTGCGTCCCACCATTGAGCTGCAGGTAACGCACATATCACAGTACACCAGTCCCGCTCTGCCTCTAAAGATTTCTTCCAAAGTATACTATGTGTGCTGCATCCAGCAAGCGTTTAAGAATAATCTTCAATCTAAAGTCCTTTCTGGACCTCCAGTTCATAGTCACTTTGCTCAGCTGGATAAGGAGGACTATGATCAGGGTTTTCAAGATAAAGTTCATGGTGAAGTGTTTAATGGGTAGGATAATTGCGGGGGAGGAGAGGAAAGGGGAAGAAAATGCACTGTGATGGAGGGATAGACACTGTGCTGGATGTCCTCTCTCCCACTGCATTTCAAAAGCAAGACTTATCTCAGCTATAGAGCCCTTGGAGCAGATCCCACAGTTATTTCAGATGGATTGATAGGGAGCAGCTGAGATGTGAATATTCGGACTGGGTTTCCCATCACTGGGGGAGGCCAATCCATATTGTAATTAGCTGATGGATCTGGCCCAGTCAGTGCCCAGTCATCCATCCCCTTCCTGGAAGAGACCATATAACTATGATTACCAGCTCGTTCTACTAGGGATGTCTGCAAATTAGGAGTCCCTTTTTGGGCTGCATACAAAACTTCATGGGCTTCAGCCTGGGAACCCTCAACCCAACTGATATTCAAGCTCTTGCAAAGGTCAGAGCTGAGGGCAGCTGCTGTTCAGTTAGTTGGCCGCTGTATATTTTCGTGACATTTCCTTCAGAGTCCTTCTTCTTGGGCCATGCTGACTCGCCAGGCTTTGCAGAAGCTGGCAGCCAGCCCTCTCCTTTTGTCCTTTTAGATATGAGAAACACATCCTTTCTCTGAAAACATGGGTATGATGAAGGAGACTGTACTTAAATGTATCTGAGTCAGTGATACAGACTATGCATTTCCAGTAGGTGCCATTGATTCCCATCTGTGATGAATGGATTCTGTAGCATCATCCAGTTCTTTCTCTGCAACTGGAAGTTTGACTACATGCACAAAGTGCTAAAAATGCCAGAGCTGGAGGTGCCGCAGGCTATCCTCTGTGAATCTGCTCCAAAGCCATTGAAATTAATGGAAATCTTGTCTCTGGCTTTGACAGATACTGAAACAGGCCCTAAAAAAGAACAAATAATGTTTGGAAATGTCTACAAATAAAGCCAAGCTCTCCAAGTGAGTCTACTGTTGGCAACTTCTACAGCAGTGTGAATTTTTTTCCTCATCTACGGTTGCTATAAGTAACTCTTCAACTGCCTGCAGCAGATGGGGAATGGAAGAAAGACAGTTTCCCTCTTTTGCAGTTTGTTGACTTCATATATTTCAGTGCCAGTAGAGCAGTCTGTCAGTTTATTCTGTTTACCACAAAAGAAAGAAAAGCATTTACAGAAAAGAAAATACCGCTTTAAAAGCATCAAAATTAGCAACTAGGGTCCTCAGGAAGAGACAAAATTCCTGAAAGCCCTTTTCACTCATAACTGAAAAATGGCTTGATTTCAAATAAACAGTGCTCCTTGAATTTACTATTTTGTGGGAAACATGCTTTTTATATTTTTCCTCAACAGAAAGACATTTTTTTTAAGTAGTTCTCTTATGCCAGAAGTCCACATGGAAGCTTCACAGTATAATCGTTTATTAATTTTTTTTTGCTATTTGCCTGTGTGTAGCTGGCTGAAATGAAATAGTTTATGAAGTTTCTTAAATATCACAAATGTTAGTGTGGAAGAGACAAAATGGTGCACCTGGCTGTGTAATCTCATCTTGCATGTTTCAATAGGGAGTCGTAGAAAGGCTTAATTAAAGCCTCTCTCATTGTCTCAAGGGGGTGGTTGGCAATTACAGTAAGTTTTCTGCTGGCTGCCCATGGGAGTGTGACTGACCCCTAACAGTTATCGTAAAGCCACACCAGGATCTGCAGGGAAGTGTCAAGCATAACATCAGCTACATAAATTTTGGATACACCAAAACCATTGACTTGCTGGGTTTTGTTTGCCTTTTGCATAATTCTGAAGAACTGGGGCAGACTCACAAAAGAAGAGGCTGTACATAAGCATTGGTTGTAAGGAACCTTGAGCCCTTTGCATATAGCCAAGGCTTGTTAATCCTTGTTCAGTTGTGGCTCTGTGCTGGAAAGACTGATGTAGCAACCACCCCTACAGCACGTGTTCTGGACCAGTGACTTAAACTAAAACATATTCACCAGCTAAAATAAGGCTTGCAAAGCAATTGTGTTTTGCAAGCTTTGACTAGAAATTAGTGACAAAGCTTTCTCAATATTTTCACACCCTCACTCCAAGCTGCGATAAAGCTATGAATAACTCCTTTGTTTGTGAACTCTCTTGCCTCTGTTGGAATAAGTCTTTCGTTTTTCTTAGAAATGTTTTAGGGGGCCCTGCAGATCTCTTACAGAGTCCTAACTTGCCCTTATGAGTTACACCAGATGTTGGCCATCAAGAGAAATTTTCTTCAGAAAAGCATTATGCTATATGAAACATCACAAAAGACAATGACGAAGGATTTATTCCTGGTTTTCAAATGGATCCTTCAAGGTTTATTAATTTGTTGTTTTTGATGTACATAGAAGCTGTTGAGTTGAAAGAAATATGAAGCATATTTTGTTTATGATGCTGAAAAAGTTAATAGGTATTTAAAAAAATGATGGCCTACACTAAGATTCTGTAAGGGAACATCCTAGGTGGTGTTCACCACTCCCAAAAATTGAATCCCAAATTGAACCCCTTAAAACCAGCTCAGTTTTGGTAGCCAAATCTCAAAGTACTGATAATTACTAATTTATATTTTTTTTTAATCCAAGCTTATATATGTAAATTATATGCCATTTGGAAAGTTTAGCTTCATATGCCTAAATTCTTACAGAAGGGGCGATGAGCACTCAGTGCTTATCTAACATATGTAGATGTGGTAGCCTTGCCTTGACACCTTTGCAAATGCCCCAAATTAGGCACCGAGCACTGGATTGCAAGTTTTGAAAAATACAAGCCCAAATTCTTGTTCAACATAATCAATAGCTCAGGGCACCCTGAATCCAACTGCAAATTTCTCCATGACCAACTATCATGAGAACATGCTCATTCACAAGACTTTTTTATTTCTGAACTTTATTGTCCCAGACTTGGGAAAAATCAGTTCCAGAACTTCCCTGGGCTGCTGGTGAGCTTGGTGCGTAGACAAGGAGGAGGGGTATGGTGCCACCACTGACTTCAAGGTGGTCCTGATTTGTAACCCTAGTGCAGATCACAACTGCATCATGACAGCCTAAGAATATCCAGTGATTCAAAAGGCCATCACAGCACAGCAGAATAGCTTGACAATCCTTAGTAGAGGAGAGAAAGTACTAGATTTGAAGAGTTAAGGAAGTGAAGAGCTGCCAATGGGAAGGAATAAATCACACCCCTGTTCATTTTGGCTGTTGTTCATTTGCCTTGAGGAACAGCAAGGAAATTTACTCTACAGGAGGATATTGCCATCTTTACATTCCTGAATATTACTGAATGTAATGTATAGATTTTATCAGGAATTGAAATATATGTATGTTCTATGAATTGAATAATCATATAAATGGAAAATTTATTTATATTACTTTAGTTTTGAGGTAGAAAAAAGATGATTTTTGGGCATCATTAACGAGATAAATCATGAGTGGTCTATTTTAGTGTGTCACCTGCACTTGCGCTGTGTGCAGATCTGCCTCTTGAAAAGATCTGTTTCATTATTACCCAAATAGGTAGGAAATACCGAGTCCTGCGCAGGCTGTCTGGAAAGGGAAGGAGGAAAGCCCCTAGGTACACCTACATCTTCCATCTCTCCGGCTGGCTTCCATCTCTCCATCTGCCAATTAGTTTAAGAAGGTGGGTCACAATCACATTTCCTTCCTTCCCGCTCTCCTGTGCTGCTTGCCCTGACAGTGAGACTCGGTTCTTTGCTGACTCAAAACAGTTTGTTTTTATTGTTGCTCTACTGTCTAATTTTCCATGTGGCAACACAGCAAACTTAGCAATGCCCAACCCTGCCAAGTTGCAATTTTGATGGTATCTTGTTTAGAAAAACAGGGAAAACAATTCTTATCTTTATAGGGTGCAATAAATAAATTAGACGTTCGTTCCTGGCATGATGGGGTCAGGATAAAGATAAATAGGACTACATTCAGGAGTTGCTGGGTTGGACATAATTTCTCTTTATAGGATGTGTATGGCTACCTTCTGGCCCAAATGTTGCCTGGACAAGTCCCTGAGGATCTTCTTCTAGGAATTGTCCGTTTGATAGCATCTAATATTGCCTTTGGGCTGCCATACAATTGATGCCTCAATACTTCCCTCTTTCCCAGCTATTTCCTATGGACTTTTTGCCTTCCACAGGAGAACTTTGACTATTGGCTTCCACGACATCTTTGACTACGATGACGATAAGTGTGCCCCAAAAGAACATGAATCAAGCCAGAGTTATTGATTGCTAAGGTTAGCCTTGAATTCACATAGCAAGTAGCAGAACTATCAGAAGCACCTGCTGACACCTCATGTGTTCTTATGATCATGACTGACTAAGTGGTACAATTTAGATGTGCCATTACCTTAATATCTTAATAAGAGAACTGTTCTACGGATTAAAGGTGCCCTCTTTGGATAAAACATTAACTGGTAGATAAAAATGGACTGAGTTTTTCCTAGCACGCACATACACACAGAGGCAAAAAAAAATAATTGCTTGGATCTGAATCTACATCACAACTCCGCTGGTGTCTCTGCAGTCACTCCAGATTTCCATGACAGTAAGACTGGCCCGACTTCTAAGGCAGTCCAGCCTCCACCTTGTTTGTTTTTATTTAATTATTTTGTTACAGATTTTTCTTCTGCTGATTATGAGCTATTTCTGAGCTTAAAGGACCTGAAAACAGAAAGAAAAAAACTGTATTACAAGTTGTTTTCATTAATAATGTCTCTCATCGGTAGATATCCAACACCTTATGAAAGAGATCAGCTTCACCCTCCCCACAATGAGCAGTCTCTCTGGTCAGGAACACTGCTCTTGTGTTAAATGCTCTGCACTCAGATGCCACCTGACTAAAACCAGAAAGCACTTCTTTTAAGCTTTTCTTTTATAGTCTCCCAAAGATGTACAGCAGGCTGAAAGTTAGGACTGTGTAGCAGCAGTAACTTCTGTTAAAATCTCACAAAAATAGTTGATTTGATCCAAATACTGATCAAAACGGTATTTGATCAGAACAGTATTTGATCAGAACTGTTTTGGTCCAAACAAAGCCTTGTCAGAATAATATGTGGAAACTATTGGTATTTAAATTTGAAAGACTGTACTAGTAGCTTGTATTTGCAATTATACTTGGAAATGAGATTATGTCAATAAGACAATATTTAACAAAGATTAGAGTTTATCTCTCAGACACAGTGAGATAGCAATCAGTGTGATTTCAGCAAGAACAACTTCTAAGTTCATATCAGTTTTACTATTGGAGTCTTTATTTGGTAATAATAGATAACAGTTGATAGTTGAAAGTTCTTAGCACAGCTTAAAGTCATATTCAGTTAATTTGACCTTTTTAGTGGGCTTTAATTAGAACTCAAATTTTATAAGAGGGAGGTTGAGATTAAAGTAAATTAAGTACTTATAAATCAATATAGAGATAAGAAATAATATTGGTCTCTCTCTGATTTATAAGGCAATGATTTACTTGTGTAAGTGAACCAAAAGTACAAAGGTAGACACATGGCAATGACATTATTGTTATACTAGAAATTTAGATAACTGCCTCCTCTTTCTTGGGAAATTTTGTTTCCATTGAGCAAAGAGAGATCCCACCCTCATCATCATCCTCTCAGCCTTGTATGGCCACAGCCAGACCGATGCTGGGCAGAGTAATGCTTTGCTCCAAAGATGTCTTCATGGTCCTTTTTAGGTATGTGAGAGAAGCTCAAGGCACTCAGGGACTGGAGGGGAGTGAAAGCAAAAAGAACCCAAGTGGAACAGCTTGTAGCCTTCACCACAACTGTTTAAAGCAGAAAAAAAATACAGTGAAGAAAACCTGCCTGAGGTGAGGAGCTGGTAACAACAAAAATGTTGTCATGAGGGGTGAACAGAGAGGAAAATGGGGCAGGGGGGGGAATGCTGGGTTTGGTTGTGGAAAGATTTGTATTTGAAGGATTCTGCAACTGGGAAGTGTTTGTAACTAAAGTCAAGCATCAGGAGAGGCTGTTCAAACCACGGGGCTGGATCATTTGCATTAGGGCTTATGTTTTCGGTATCCCCTGCTGGGAAGAGCAAGACAGCACAGTCTCCCTGAATTTATAATGTTTTGGTAAACATGAGTGACAATGTGTCTGTTAAACCTAAGATCAAAGAGCCACAGGTATTCTCTCCAGAGATGTATTTCCTCTGTGTTCTCTAGAACATGGAGTTCTGTAACCTTCTCCATTCTCTCCCATCGAACATGTGTTTTTACAAAGGGAGAAGAAACATAGTGAAATAATAAAATTTGAAGTGTCACCTCATCCGCAGCTACTTCTGCTGATAATTACACATTATAATTGTAAATCAATGTGTTGATATTTTTCCATTTCAATGTAAAATGGAGGAAATCACACAGAAAGAAAAAATCATCTCTCTGTAGGTTACTAAACGCTTATCTGTCATTAGCATGATAAAAACAAAACAAAAAGTTTTTTACTGCTAAATAAAGTATTTTTCACTGACAAGCAGGAAAAATTACCTTTGGAAGGCCTCCTTATTTAAGTTGTACACAATATGGGACAAAACTTTCAGGCACAGACACCTGAAATTAGCTACCAAAACACATTGGGGTTGATTTCAAAAGTTGCTGGATATCTGTAGCTCCTTGTTCTTCCATTCCAATAACTTTTAACAAGGTTTCCAATTATCTCATCCTGGCTGAATCTTAAACTAGATGAACAGTCTAGTTAGTGCTGGTACAGATTAGACCACTCACGGATCAGATAATTAAGACTGCAGCATTAAGGGCTGTGGCCATGTAAATAGATGAGGATATGCTGGAGAGAATGTACTAAAGCAAAGCAGAACATCATGGACAGAGAAGATGTCCCCAGGGCTTAGTGGGGGTGGAGTGAGATGGCTTTGCTTTTTTGCCAGATCCTTTTCAGTCTTTAACATTGCTGAAAAGTCCATTACCTCGTTTTGAGTAAAGCTGTCCTGATGATCTCCCAAAGTGAAGACAGGCCAGACAACAGACAACAGGTTGGGAAGAGAGGAGCAATGTATGTGCATAACAAGAGGGTCAGAGCAGTCATGTGTAGCACAAATTGTGTTCCAGATAAAATACGAGAAATAAATATATATTTGTAAAAGATCAGTCAGCCTTAAGAAGTGATGTGAAAACATTTTGGGAACAATGGCGATTTAGCTGAAAAAATCGGATTTTATGGTAACCTCATATGAAATTGCATAATATATAATTGTGTAAAGAATCTTTTTATCCTTCATGTTCAATGGAGCCTATGATTTGCTCTGCAATCACATGCTTTTTATTGAAATAATTCTTTTCCCAGAGGATTTTAAAATTAACAACATTGAACCTAGTTAAGTACCTTATCTAGAAACAAAAGCATGAAGTTAAAAATCCATCTTATTTTCAATGATTCCTGCCATACTTTCACAGAGTGGATTCAGGTCACATATGGGAGGGTACAGTATGGTGAGTATTTGTGAAAAAATGTTTAATTCAAAAATGTGCCAGACAGTACATTCTGGAACAGCTTGTATATAAAGCAATATAGCACGTGACTGTTGATGAAATTTTGTTGATTAATGGAATAGCCCAGTTTAAATTTTACAGAATGGAAGGAAAGGGACGAACCCCCCTAATTCAGAACAGTGGGTAGAGATTTCTTTTCCTTTTCTCTCCCTACCTGCCAATGGGGCAAGCACCCTCACGCAGTGCCTAAAATTTGATTGGAAATGCTGCCAGTGGTGTTTCAGATTCATTCCACCTGACTCACCGGCTGTGCCTGGCCGCTTCATATGCCGCAAGCAGGCAAGTTGTGTTTTTCTTAATTCCCCTTTGAATGAGTGAAGGAGTTAATAAGAATGTGTAAGTGTATGTGCTAGGGATTAAAGATCAGCTATTATAAATTGTCAGTCTATAAGCCACCGGCCGCTAGCTCGCACTGCACTTTGACCTTATCTTTGTATGTAACAGGAAAGCGCTGTTCTCAGAGAGCCCAGACAGGAGGGGACCACTGCGGCTGCGGGAGCAGCTGGGGAGAGGACACAGAAAGTGATTATTCCAGATAAGCAGAGATGGATACGATATTTGGTAGAAATAAAGAAGAACATCCAGAGCCCATAAAAGCTGAGGTGAAAGGTAAGTGAAAGAAAAATCTGCCCTAATATGTTTGGTTACTTTGGTGTTTTGGAAGAGGTAAACACTGAAACACTTGTTTACCCAAAACAGCACTGAAAAGGGAAACTGAGAAAGCGAGAAGAAGCATTAAGTGAATTTTGTTTAAAGGACTGAGCTCAGATGATATTTTTGCCCCCACTGTGGGGTTTTTCTCACTTTATGGGCATTTCTGTGTACTTTTCCAAAACGTCAGTTTGAACAGGCTTGAGGGAGAAAGTCCCGGGATTTAATCTGGTGACACCCCCTCCGCCATGGCTCTCCTCAGGCTTTCGGTTTCTCCTCTCTGTAACCCTTCCCTACCCTCTGTCTGCTCACACGCTTCCTGCCCGCCTGGAGAGGGGCACTAAAATTGAAACTCTTCAACAATAGTGTTTCTAAATAGAAAAGCAGCAGTGATGGGTGCTACTCTGTACTGTTAAAAGAGAGTTCAGAAGTTAATCCAGTAAAAACTGCAAGTATCCGTCAGAAAGTGGCTCTCTAGGAATGGGCGCTACATAAATCTATTATTTTTACAGCTTTTTTTACTTTACAGAAGAGTTTGCTGCTACAGCTACGGGAGAGTTTTGTAGCTAAGAACCCCTATTTAGTAAATATATGCTGCATTTTTTCTAACATGTGGTCCAAGAATTGGTAGGCATCTAATACCAATTTTAAAATCACTTCCCTAGTATGACACTTAAAAAGATTACAAAACTGTCAAGACTTCCTTGTTGTTATTCAGTTTGGTGGCTGAATTGGAAAATATGTTGTTTCAAATCAGATAAAGTCCTTTGTTATAATTTGCAGTGGGTTTATGCCTTTTAGTTTTCTTTTGCTCAAGATAAAAACTTATTGAAACATGCAAAGTTGTTTGCAAACAAACCATTTATCAGATTTGATCTGCATATTTAGGTAAACAAAATTATGTATACAAAATATTCTGTCATTGATAATAATGATTCAGGATTTACCAATTATGAAAACTAAAGAGAACCTTGACCTCTTTAAATATTTTGCTGGCCCTGAGGTCTGCCAGTATTTTGACTCCCTGTTACTCAATATGTACCCTGTAAATATGACCCCATACTTCCAACGTCAGCTGTAATTTAACCCATGCCCTCCTAAACACTGTACAGCATGTGATTGTGCGAGACTCCGTTGCTATGATAATGAACTTCCAAATATTTGGAGATTTTACTGTGTCACTATTATGTCCTCATACGGTACAGAAAAGTATCATTATTTCCACTTCAGATAAAAGTCTGAAGCAAAAATATCCAAGTTCCAGATTTTTAAAGCTATTTAAGCACATTAGGATGCTGATTGGTACCCAGTGTGATTTACAGAAATTCTTAATTCCCACTGAGATGAATTTTCATCTGAAAGCCAGATGTTCCTTTGCTCCATGATTTTCATACTGAAATTATGCCAGAAATGACACTGAATTACACCCAAAGTTTCAGAACCTGCAGCAAGTCCACAGAGAAATTATTTTATTGGCCTGTCCTGTATTTTTAGTTTTTGAAAAATAATTTTTGAGCATCATTAATCTGATACGCAGGAATAATTTCTAAACAAAATTTTTAGCCCTAGGAGCTGCAAGACGTTCTCTGAATTGCAGAAATATCTGTTTTTCTTGAACGATGGGCCCCAAAGCAGTTTTACGGGGTCAAAAACCCACAAGACCTCGTATGCAGAAGTGTTATATTTTCACTGCAGGGAAAGAAGGACCGGTTGCAGCAGGACCACACACAGTCAGCCTCAACTCACTGGTAGCAAAAGGTTTATTGGGGCATGACCAGCAGCTGATGCTCATCGCACAGGTTTACAGTCGTAAACAGCGTTGGCAGGAGGGAAGGAGCACAAAAGGCTCCACTCGCTACGCTGCAGTTGCCCATAGTAGTGGAAAATAGCAGAGCCTACAGTCCTCTGTTGCCAAATAACAGAAAACTCTGGAAAGGGAAGTGGCAAGAAGAGAAACACTTGTATTTCAGGCACGTGAGCAGACTAAACTTCTTCAGCAATTAATATGCAGTAGTCAGCCAAACAAAAATTATGTATTTATTTTGAATATATACTTAAGATCACAATCCTATTCTCTCTGAAGGATACTTTTCTTCTGTTAACTTGCAATTTCCTCACTGTCTTCTCACCAACTATTTTTAGTTACTCAATTTCTGTGCAACTATCTGTATTAAAGATTAAACCTTGGTCAGCTTATGCAAAAAAAGAACTATAATTATTGCATTGTAACTTCTTGTATTAGAAAGGCAAGTAAGCTTTGGTTTTCAAGGCTCTTCCAGAATATTATAATACTAGTATTAATACTAATACCACCATCGATTGTGTCATCAATTTTTTATCTTCCTCTTATATTCTAGAACTGTAACCCTAATGAAGTTGTGGCATACAGTATTATTTGGTTGTCGTGACTGAGAATATGTTTTAGGTAAAGCTGACATTTACCTTTGCATTTGGATGGGTTTTCCTTGTGTCCTTAATGTCATTTGTTTGAAGAAGTGGCAAATGTCCTTGTCTCCCTTATCAAAAAAAGTAAAAATTCAGGAGATACTTTCTTAAGAAGTGGCCAGAGTCCCTTCAGGATCTCAAAAGGTCTTACAGCAAAACAAATTGTTACCTTTGCAACTGACAAAATGGAATATTTCCATGGGAGGACATTTCTATCTCTTGTTAAGGGAGTATTAATAAGAAAGTGTGTCCACATATTCAAGATGAGGTCCCAAACTAAATGAGAAGTAGAATTAAAAGTTCTGAAGTGCTTTTTATGCAAAGACAATGCTCAGTGCAGGAATTGTGTAGAAAAGTGGTATGTGATCTTAAATATTCTCTCAGGAGGCATAAACACACAAAGAAGCAAGTGAAGTTTTTAATTTAGTGTCTGATATGCTTGTGTTCAGCTTTTTAATCCTAATGACATTCTTTAATTGTTACTCTGTGTGTCAAATGGCAGGTAATGTATTCTTTGCAGGGATTTGATGAGGAACATTTCATATTCAAACCTCAACCGTATTCATATATTCTAATTATAATATTCGTACTCTATTTGTGTTCAAAATACCAACATTCTGACTAGTGTCACAAAAGCATTCCCAAAATGATTCTGTATTATGTTATGTAATTTAATTAATGAAACTTTTACTGGAATTAATTTAGCCTGAAGTTTAAATTATGTACTCAAGGCCAAGTCATATAGCCTATAAAATACGTTTATTTCTGATAAGCTCTAGCTTTTCCTGGCATGAGTAAAAGGGTTTAAATGTATCACATTAAAATCTGAGTGCAGGAAAGAAAGGTCCAACTTCATTTAATTCCTGATATTTAGCAAATTACGTTCCACCAATCTCATCTTCTTACAGTAGTCTCATCTAGCAATAGTCACGCAGAGCATTACTAATGCCACATTTTTAAGCAGGTCGTATTTTTGTTAACCAAAACTCCAACAAAATTATATGCTATTACAAATCTTGACATATACCCATAGTCTGCCTGCCTGTATGAAGCCTATGCCCTAAGGAAAATTGTCCTGTAACGTGCCACTCTCCTGAGTGAATGGATCCTGGTATCTCCTTTTTGTTCACAGGTCAGTTGCCCACTTGGTTGCAAGGGATACTCCTCCGAAACGGCCCAGGGATGCACACCATAGGAGACACTAAGTACAACCACTGGTTTGATGGCTTGGCTCTGCTGCACACCTTTACAATTAAAAATGGTAAGTTATTGCACGTCAGATTTAAAAAAAGCTTAACAACCCAAATCTTGGTTGCTAATTCTGTTTTGAGTTTGATTAGCGTTAGAACGTTGCAGGTTTTGTCTGCAAAGTGGCATGCGTGGTGAGGTGGTAGCTGCTCTGGGGAAAGTCTCTCCAAACATACACTCACACCTCACTCTGCAGAGCAGCAGCGGGAGGATCTCTGCAGGGCTGTTAGCAGAGATAGATTTTGTTGTCCTTTTTTTTTTCTGGAGTGCCAAAGTTCAATATTCTCAGCACTGCAGGACAGCCTGCAACCAGCTCTCAGCAGGTCACTGCAGGACAGCCTTTGCCGTCCACCCAGAGCAAGAAAACCTCTATTGTTTCAAACTGGATCAACCAAAAGTACTGCAATATCCGGAGGTTTTCCTGTTGTGGATGAACAACCTCATTTCAGGGAAGACTAACATTCCCCTTCTGGGATTTGGTTGCAGCTGCCAGGAGAGAAACTGGGCCACTGTGCCACTTCATATATCAACCCTCACTTAGGTGTACTTGACACCCCGACAAGCAGTCCTCCTACTTGTCATCCATGTGGAGGGAAAACAGGCAGCTCCCCTATCCAAAACAATTTCATTTTTTGTTTTCAGTTAAAGCATTGTTTATCAGTTCAGCTGTTTCACAGTGTGAGGCAGGATGTTTTACACCTAGATTCTTGCTGCAAAAAGTATGTATCTGTTAAAGAGCTGGGTTTTACTCCTGTCATCCTCCATTCCTAGTGTTTGCTTTGTAGTTTCCATTTCTGTGATCAGAGGCATTTAATGCAACTGCAGGAACCCCATGCCTGCCCTGCTCTACATCCTTAACAAAATAACCTAATGACCAGTGTTTTTTAAGCTGCCAGTATATTTCACTCACCTAAAGCAAACAGAGCTCAGTTAGTTGAAGTATAGTGGTCCATTAAATTGTTTAGGATAGACATTGATTCCTTTGTTACTCTCTTGTAACTAAATTTTGCCAATAGAGGAGATTTATCACCACCCACACATTGATGTATAATTAATAATTTTTACACAGCTTGTTTTGCTTTACTGGAATAATTTATCCAATTCCCTCCTTTCCTCTTCCCGGTACTGTCCAAATGTGTTGGGAGTCCAGGAAGTGAGATGAATTGTAACCAATCTCAGCAGCCACAAGAACAGTCCCAGGTTCCTTAGATACCTGAAAAACCCTTCCAAAATAGGGATTTAGGGCATTGTGGGTTTCATTGCAAGCTTTTCTTAGCTAAAGGACAGCTGCTTGAGAAACTCTTCCTCAGACTTTACCTATTCTAAAGAATTCAGGATGAAATGTGATGGAAACCTGTTTGGCCTTTGTCAGGTGAAGTTTACTACAGGAGTAAGTATCTCCGGAGCGACACGTACAACTACAATATAGAAGCAAACCGAATCGTGGTGTCTGAGTTTGGAACTATGGCTTATCCAGATCCATGCAAAAACATATTTGCCAAGTAAGCAATCCTTTTTCCAGTAAGATTCTTCTGTCTTCTTCTCTCTCTAGCACAGGTGTCTTTCCATTTACCCTTGACAGATATTTACAAATAGGAAATTTGTTTTGTAAATTTACAATTTCCAAATACTGACAAGGCCAAGAGATACATCTGGCACCATATTGTCTATGGATTATTTTAGGACAAATATTTAAAATTAATTTTATTAGCAATATTGGCTGTTTTATTCACTATTGCAAGTAGATTTTGTTGAAATTTTGAAAAACCAGATATTTTTTAAGTGTTTTGCAGAAATTTATAAAAATTGTACTCTGTAGTGGGAGAAGCAGCAGGAAAGGAAAAGATTAAGAGATGGGGAATGTCTTTATGAAAAGTTCATTCAATAAAAAGAAGAAAACCATTAATAAATTTTAAAAAAAAAAACACAGAAAAACTTCTGGATTAAAGACCATTTTTACCAAAATCAGAAGGAAGTGATGAAAAATTTCAATTATTTCTTGAGTCATGTGGAGTGCTTTGAAGGACTGCACCCATAGGCCTGAGCTAATCTTGTATTCAAAATCAGAACCACTTGGGATGTCGTGCCATTAGAGAGGATGATAGGCTGTATATGAGAGGCAAGGTGTAAGTCATCATCTTGTCACCTGTCTTGTAAAATTGGCTGTGGATGTTCCCTGACAAATGCAAGTAGCTTACTCATCTCTTCTTCCTGTCTGGACTACCTCTAAAGACCTTGAATTTGATGTCTGCTAAGAGCTCATGCATGGATAGTTATTGCAAAATAGTTGATATGTTGTAAGTTGCTTCCCTGAGGTAAGATGCTTTTCTTCCCTTGTCCGGCAGTAACTGGGTAATGCTGCCATTTTAAGCTCAAAATGTATCTAATCAACTTTGTCTTGCTTTCAAGTGAATATGATAAAGTCCTGATAAGGAAAACTCTCAAGCCCACGTGTGAAGCTGGGTCTTCTTTGAAATCATAATTGTGATACAAGATAACACTGGGAACAAATATATTCCATCAAGGAGTATATGAATGTATGTATTTTAAGAAGGCATACCCTGAAAAACCTACCAGCTTTTAGGTAGAAGCTGTTAGGCCAAATTCTCACAAGGTCTCTCTCTGCACAGGAGAACATGTAATTAGCTCCTCCTGATAAAGCAGGGCATATGTTAGGGCTGACAGCAGGGCAGGACCGGGATGGCCATTTGTGTATGGAAAAGCAGTGCCATGCATGTCCTTACCCTTGCCCAGGCCAAGGGTGTTGCAGAAGTCCCATCTCCTCTGCTTTTCCACCCCTTCCACCCAGGCAGTGCGGGAGCTTCCAGAAGAAGGCACAGCCAGGAAAAGACAGAGCCAGCTCCGTGACCTTGCTGCTGGGCACAGCCCGCGCTGCTCGGGTGGCTTCTGCTGTGCGCGGGTAAAAGCTGGTACAGCTTCTGCTGCTCTAATTAGCCAATATGAAATTTCCCCCAAACAGGGCATTCTCATATCTGTCCCACACCATTCCTGAGTTCACAGACAACTGCCTGATCAACATTATGAAAACTGGGGATGATTTTTATGCTACCAGTGAGACTAACTTCATCAGGAAAATTAATCCGCAGACTCTGGAGACATTAGAGAAGGTATAAACGACTGTCTGTCATTCTGGTTCCTCATCTGCTAATGAATAATGAAGTTTCAGGCTGACTCATAAAGATCCTTTAACACAAAACAGGAGAGACACTTTTCCACTTCTGCTATTCCCTCACTTTTGAAACCATGATAAAGTGAAATTGTGAAGATACCAGGTCTTTAAGAACTCATGAGTTCAAAATTAAATCCCACGTAGTTTGGGAAAAGCTGGGCTTTGGGCAATTTCACTTGTACATGATCTAGCAAGGTTGCAGCGATAATACCACATACGCTTATGATGTGATTGTTTTGGATGATTTCCATTATTATGCGTCTGTAGTTATCGAGTGATTTACATAATTAACAATTCAGTAGGTCAGTTATATGACTACTTTTCAAGTACCTTATGCAAGATATTACTTAATTATTAAAATGAAATCTTCACATATTGAAATATGCAATGAGGTTTTTCTAGCATGCAGTACAGTTTGAGTACAATTTCCAAGCTTTATATAAAAAAATCTTTTTGCCCCAGAAGATTGCTAGACTTGTAGCCCTATTAAATAAACTGCTTTCAGGGTGAAATGGGCATTTGCAGAGTAACTCCTTGAGCCAGTCCTCCTGTTGTGTTATGTGGCTACAAGGTGAATGTAATTCATATTCTGTAGTTTGCTTTAGCAAATAATTTGGGTACCTATATAAGTGAGATGAATTTTAATTCTCTTACACATCTCCAAAATCTCCTAAGATCTCTAAAATCTCTCCGTTTTCCAGGTTGACTACAGCAAATACGTAGCTGTAAATCTGGCAACGTCTCACCCACACTATGACAGTGCTGGAAATGTTCTCAACATGGGTACTTCAATAGTTGATAAAGGGAAGACAAAATACATTCTATTTAAGATACCTCCCTCTGTGCCAGGTAAGATATGTCTTCTATCAGTATTTTCTAGAAACTTGTTAGCAATTTGTTTTCTTCTGAGGTTAAGGGGTGATGACAAAGCTCTTCTAGAAACTGATTGTGTTCATTTTCCTAATTTTAATTTGCTGTGAACTTAATGTTAACTGCTTAGCCTGTCTGGGCATGTGCTATTACAAAGGTTCATCTTGAATACTGTGTAAACAGGGTGTTTCAGTTTGAAGAACATTGCTTTTAGAAGAATTGTACTTTGAATATTACTAGAGTGAACTAACTCTCTTAGAAGAATTTGCATTCCCTGTATTGTAATGTATAGCAGGAGGATGAACAGAAACAGTTTTATCTATAGGGCAGTATATAAATTTGAATATGTAAATTTTGATTTTATTCATAAATGATAATGCTCTTAAAATGCTGATACTGTGATTATAGGCAAGCATAATACCAAATAATATCTAATATAGAGTTAATTCCTCTCTAAAATGGACTACACTAGGCCTTACTGAGATACCATCCTTTGTTCACAGAGCAAGTAACTTGCTCTTTTTCCTTCAAGACAATCCTTTTTGTGTGGTGTTCTTTAAAATCAGCTTCTAATGTGATATCTGTCCTCTTGGTTGAACAATCGAGAGGCTTTCCACAGCTGAAAGGTTAGTTTGTAATTTCTAGCCCGTGCTCAAGCAAAGTCAGTGTAGATCAAACAGGAACATCTCAGAAGCTCAGACACGTGGGGGCATTTGAACCCCCTTGTAAAGGTGCCAATTTAATTGAACACCTTTCTCCTCTTTGCTGGGACTTCTGAAGACAGTAACTGGTGGAATGAAATACTAAGACGAGGGGGTTCTGTCTGAATGGATCCAGCATTGTAATATTACTGTATTGCTTCACTCACATGCAAACTTCCATGTTAATTCTGCAGGAGGAAATGAACCATTTTCTTAACAGGAAAATGCAAATAAAGCTGAGAGAAACCTGTTCTTTCCGACTTCATACATGGGAGAAATCCAAGCACAAGATTGGATTGGAATTTATTATAAATATAATTGTATTTTTTTATCATTTATGTTCAGAAAAAGAGAAGAAGCAATCTTATTTTAAAAATCTGGAAGTGATGTGCTCCATCCCTTCTCGCTCCTTGCTCCACCCAAGCTACTACCATAGCTTTGGAATCACAGAAAATTACATTATCTTCATAGAGCAGCCATTCAAACTGGATATTGTCAAAATGGCAACTGCCTACATTCGAGGTGTGAACTGGGCTTCCTGCCTTGCCTATCACAAGGAAGAGAAGGTATTTTTCTTAATGCTGAGTAATAGAGTCAGCCAGGCCAGTAACCTCTTCCACACTGTTCTGTTTGTCATCTGGTTCATTAATTTCAGTAAGCCCTCATTTTTATTCAATCCCTGATTTTCATGTTGCACATTTGTTTTAGAAGTTGTACTTTTTGAAAACTGTCTCCTCTATCCAGAAATCTCACAAAAGAAATATCTGATACAGAAATGCTTGAGAAAGAAGATAGTTTGGCAGTGTTAGAAGTATTCTCTGCCAGCAGAGAAATTCAAAACTGGTAGCATCCCAGACACATACAGTTGCTCTTGATCCAAACAAAATACTATATATTGTGGCTGAGATCTGCTCTAGATCCACTGCATCAGACAGGAGAGCCAGAGTGGTGGAAAAGCCTGAATCTAACAAAGGGAGAGTCTTTCACTGTGTCAACTGAGGAACAAAACCTTTCTGAGGACCTTATTTCCATGTGCTCAATAAGTGGGACATGCTGGGGTAGAGGACACCAGCACAGAGCACTGCAGAGAGACTTGGATTAAGGCAGATTTATTTAACTTAAAAATAGAGCAGGGGATTTTCAAGGTTTTACCGGAAAACTTCAATCCTCAGCCTAGCCAAAATAGTAATTTGAAACAATAAAATGAAGTTAAAGCACTTCTACACTCATTTTACTCCTGCATTTTTGGTCTTCAGATTGGAACCTCTTGTCTCCTAGCAGCAAATCTGAATTCTTAATATGCTTCAGTAGAAACAGACAATACATTAGAATGTTGATGGCTACAATTAGAAAACAGTTTCCTAACTAACTATTTGCTGATCATTAACACTTTTAAATAATGTTTCCTATCTTTCAGACTTGGTTTCACTTTGTAGACAAGAAGACTAAAAAAGAAATATCCACCAAGTTCCACACTGATGCTATGGTGCTTTTTCACCATATAAATGCTTATGAAGAGGATGGCCACATTATTTTTGATATTATTGCTTATACAGACAACAGCCTATACGATATGTTCTATTTAAAAAACCTGACTAAGGACTTTGAAGAGAAAAACAAGCTTACCTCTGTACCAACCAGCAAGCGATTTGTTGTTCCTCTGCAGTATGACAAGGTAGAAAGAAAATGACCTTTTGGATCTGTTCTTTGATCAGTAATTTCAAATACATCGGTGTGAATAATGAGCGAATTATTAGTTTCCAGCCCTTATGGGCAAATTTCTGATTCTTTAAAAATAACACACAAAGCATGCAGGAGTTTTGTTTTGTGTATGTATTGTGAGAAATAGCAGTGAGCAGCTGGACATAGAGTTACATGGATCTAGGTTCTGATACCATCCTTTATGGAAAACAGGGCTGGTGAGCATACAGAATTTCTTTACCAGTGAGATTATTTGTAAGATGCTGTCAAATACGAGCAGATACATGAACTTGGCTGTTGACTGGAAGGGCATGCACGAGGTTTTGCACAATATATTTCTTCCACTTTACTGGAAGTGATATATATAATATACGCACAGTCCCAACTGTTGCAATGGTTTTATTAAAATTGGAATATTTCATTTAAGTGTGAGATTTACCGGGAAGAGGAAAGATTTTATCTTTCAGTTTAATTTAAAACATCATTTTACGTCATTGTTTGCAGGGAAGATTTTATACTGCCCAGCAATATAAAAACTTGGGCAAGTTTGTGCCTGCTATATTTGGAATGGTGTATACTTTTTCTTTCTACATCCTAGAATCTTGCTGCTTTGTTCATGTCTCAAAAACAGTTATGCAGCAATGACAAAGGATGTGTTGGTTCACACCACGTATCCAGACTACCCTGCAATCTTAAGAATTCAGCAATACTGTATTAAAAATGAGTACATTACACCTATTTTTGCACCTGATTTATAGCAGGTGCAAAACCCCTAACCTTGGTGAGTTTTAGTGGGAATTTGATACCTAATTCCTTGAAACCCATCTTCATTAATTAAATTTGCAAACTATGTAATCCATTTATTGTGCTTCTGGAAGATAGCCATGTCTATCTAAACCTTTCTAAAGGCTCAGTATGATTCAAAATTATTACTCTCTGATATACTAAAATTCTCTAACAAGATTTCTAATGAAAAGGTCAGAATCTAATGTTACAAAAAGGATAGTAAAAAGGAATTTCTTCTTGAAGCTGGATTATTTGTTTAATCCCCAAATTGTCTATATTAATATCAAACCTGATGAAAGATCTAAATTAGAAGCATATTCTTAGAGACACATTACTTTTTCAGCGTATGTCTCTTTCAGGACGCCGAGGTAGGTTCTAATTTAGTCACACTTCCATCTACTGCAACTGCTGTAAAAGAGAAAGATGGCAGCATCTATTGCCAGCCTGAAATACTATGTGAAGGTGAGACATATCCATTACACAAATCTCAAATATGTTCTCTAACACATGCACAGGTGCTTTCTAATAATGCCGAATAGTGTTCATATATGTAAGATGTTTATAAAGTTAAGAGACTTTTAATTAATATGTTTAGTGTAGATATTGACAAAATTTTTCTCTTCTTTACTGCCCTCCTCTGGGTCTATCCAGTAATATATGACCCTGAATGTCTCAGACATATATTTATCAAGTGAAATCCTTTAAATGTCTAAAATTTCATCAGTTTGATATTCATGTAGGATCCCAAGTCTCATCTTTAAACTACTAATATGGCTTGCAAATCCACTTACAAGAGTAACTTTAATTAAACAGGTCTGTTTTAACTTCAGTTATTGCTGTCTTTTATAAAGATTGCCTTTGAAAGTGGACTTCTAACATTTTTTCAGGGCATAATAACAATAACCTGTAAAGAGTGTATATTTGCCTAAAGTGAAAATAATTTCCTAGAATGGTAGCCTCCAATTATATCTCAAGGTGTTCACATCTCATGTATTTATGAAGATAAAAAAAAAAACCCCACCACCAAAACCCCCCTAAACTATCATAAATTCCAGTATAATGAATCCCTAAAAATGAAAAATTGTCAAGTTTGAATTAACAATGCTGGCTTAATTATATTGTGTTAGTGTCCATCTTTAGCTTTTTAGAAATTAAGACATACAAAATCTATGCAACACCTGTTTTAAAAGACCATCAAGGCTTTTCATAGAGCAAAGCTTCCTGAAGACTGGCATGTAAATATACATTTTAGTTATTTTTCTTCTCTTGTTCCTAAGTCTTCAACTTTATTTTACTCAGGGATAGAACTGCCTCGCATCAACTACAACTATAACAGCAAAAAATACAAGTACGTCTTTGCAACGCAAGTGCAGTGGACTCCAGTTCCTACAAAGGTATAATTAACATTTACAGAGTCAGGAACTTTATTTATAGGACACAAATCAAATTTAAGCAGTTGTTATGTAGACCATATTTTTCTAGTTTGGCCCAAAATATAGCCTAATCTTTATTCATACATGGAAATTCAAAGTGTGTGGTCCTGAGCCCAGAAAGTGGATTTTTTTTTTTCAACATAAATTAAACATCATTCTAAATGATGACACTATAGTTCATAAATATCAGCATTTGAAAGTAGGGAGATGAAAAGTTGGACATATATTGTCAGCTTACTTGTATGATTAAAACAGCCTCACTGGGCCAATTATGGAAATACCTTTGTATTTAGATAAAAAATATTAATAGTTGAAGGTAAGAGTTTTGTACAGAGAAACTCACTCTTTGTAATTCTTGTTCTGTGACTGTAAGGCAGAGCAAATTGAGTTCACACTGTTGATTCTTATATATAATTACCACGACTGATTGCAAAATAAAGCTGGATTTCTGCATGATGCAAGAAAATTTATTGCAGCATATCTGACAGGAGCTCAAACAAATCTGCAAGTTTGTGATTTCCAGTGTAGATAATCCTTGCTTGACTTAAATATAATAAAAAATGCTGATAAAAGATTTTTTGTTTCACACCAGTTGCTCTTTAATGAATGCAGGCACAACAACAACCATATATAATCCTTAAGTAAAATCTGTCAGCAAAATTGCTGTCATCTTGATTAGAAGGGAGAATTCTTCCAAATTCTTGCTCCAGTAATCTGAATGCTTTCTTTTTTGTGTAAACATATTTTTTAACTAAAAGTCAAAAGAGAAAAGAATATGATTGCATCTGATTGGGTAAAGAAAAAGCCTTAATAGAATTGAACTGAAAATGCCAGGCATCCCACTGGCGATGGGTTTGGTCAGGGACTGGACCCACTAATGAGAGGAAAATCTATACTCTCTTCCTTCAGTTAATACCAGTATCTGTGGAGTTCTTTACCCATTGGTTTAATCTTTATACATCACTATTAATAGCCTTTATTCTGGCATATATACCTCACTTAACAGTAGAAGGCCTTGAGGAATATTGAGGTCAAAATAAAAGGAAAATAATTCACAGGATCAGAAAACGGAAGGTTTAACTGCTGTTTCCTGTTTTACTGCAGAATTGCCCTGGATTGGTGCAAGTCACTTAAATGTTCTGGGCCTTAGACCCTCCCTCCATATAGTGAGGGCATTATTTCTGGTGAGGGTTCTCTCATGATCTGTATTTGTAAAGTACTTAAAGACCATAAATGAAAGATGCACTTGGTTTCTAATGAAATGAAAGTACAAGAACATTGTGTGATTATGCAGTCACTAAAGGTAACTCCAGAGTTTAACATTTTCCAGGGGTATCCTCCCTGTGATGATGAGACTTGCTGCTCCTTAACTCTTAGCATCAGTCCCCCGTGCCAGCAGTCTGTTCTTCTTGTACCTTCTTGTACCTTTGGAATAAGCCACTGTCTGGGTCACTCACATGTTTCTTTTCTATTTTACAACTATTTAGGTTGTAAAATTTAACGTCCAGACAAAGGAAATGCTCCACTGGGGAGAGGACCACTGCTGGCCATCTGAGCCCATTTTTGTTCCCAGCCCTGATGCAAGAGAAGAGGATGATGGTAAAAGAATGGCAACATTCTGAAATCTGGGGTTACATGAGCTTTGCACTAAATTTTACAAGTTTCACTGCTCTTAGTCAAGAACTCTGGGTTGGTGTTTCCACTGTGAGATTAAAATTAGCACCAGCCATTTTACTTCTGCAGACAAAAAAACCAAAACAACAATAGACGAAAATCAACTTGTGTAATGTCCCAGTGTAGCCATAAATAATAAACCCAACGCTTAGGACTTTCCAGAGAGCCACTCGGAGCTGGATTTATCAATAGTCTGGAGCAGCTGAAGCTGTGGGAAGTCTGTGTTGTTAGAGATGAGAAGAGGAAGTAGCACTGCAAGTATCCCTCTGATCCCGAGCCAGCTCTGTTCTCAGGTAACTCCTTGTAAAGGCAAATGGCAAATGGCTGAAAGGGTGAGACCCAAAACTGCCAGGCACAAAATTTAGTGTTGGTTTGCTTTCCCAATGAACTGCAGGCAGATCAGAAAAAAAGCACAGAAGAGAAGCATTTGATAGTTCTTTAGCACTCTCAGTCAAACTTGCAGTTTGTTTCCTGAAATTCTTAGGAAACATTTTTTCCTTACAGTGTTATCTTTTCTGCTTGATGTAACTAGTGTGTGCTTCTAATTCTTCATTTTATATGTTACAGGCATTGTTTTGACCTGCGTTGTGGTGTCTGAGCCAAACAAAGCACCCTTCCTACTGGTCTTGGATGCTAAAACGTTCCAAGAATTGGGCCGAGCCACAGTAGATGTAGAAATGCATCTGGACCTGCATGGAATGTTTATACCAGAGAAGGATTTGAAGACTGAGACTGAGTAAAATGCTATTTATCCTATTACACAGACTGATACAACCTTCTGCTGAATGTGGGATAATATCATTCAGCAACAACCTTATCTTATGACAAGAAATGACCGAATATAATCTCTTCAATAACAATATATAAACTCTTATGAGAGATAGCAATAACTTCTATTATAAATAATTACATGTACAACTGGTACATAACTATTCCAGAACAAGAATGATCAGTATTAAGTGTGAAAGTTGTATACAACTTGTGGGGCAGGGAACAGGAGACAAAGGTAACAAAAAATGTTTTATTTGAGTAGAATATAGCTTTCTCAGCAAATAAAATACTGTATTTATAGGGTGATGTATGGCATGAGTCACACATGTCTGCAGCTCATGTAAGTTCCATGGACTGTTTAAAGACTGCAGCTCACAATTAAAGTTGTCTCCTGCCAGAAAACCTCACGTTAAACTATTTGCTATGACAATAATAATTCATGGCAATGCATTCTCTTGGTGCTTGATTTCTTAAACTTCACTATAACCAAAGTATTACATTGAGGTGCTACAACTTTCTAATTTAGAACCTAAAAAAGCCCTGCTTTGCTAATAATTTCATGGTGTATTTTTCCCTTTTCTGTTGACAAAACCACATAACTTGAAGTAGAATATATGGTTTTATGTAGCACTCAATTATACTTTTGAGCTATTCAATCTATCTTAAGCACTTTGTATTTAAATCAGTTTTCCTTGAGGAGAATATATGACATGACATTTCATGTAATTAGATGATTACATTGTGTGGAAGATAAACAGGAATGTGGTATTTATTAATATTGGTTATAGTCTCTGTCAATAGCAGTATGCATATGAATGAGGGCAGTATATTTCTAGCAGAACTCAGATACATACCTTCAACAAATTGTTTAGGTGACAGAGTGAAAGGCCTAACTTAGACCTTATCTGACAGTAGCTGAAACTGCGAGCTATTGCTGCTATAGCTAAGCATTTGCTTTATTGTCTGCTTAGGGGCATCCATGTCCTGACGTGGGTTTGTCGTTGCCTGTCACAGATGCTTCCTGGTGAAAGCACACAACTCTCATTTAGAGTCACAATTAAAAAGCATGTTTCAACACAGAGTTCAAATGCCAAGTATACCGTGACTGTTTTTTGTTATGGGAATGGCATTTCTTAGCCTATTTCTGTTTTCTGATTTGGGACATTGATTTTCCTTTAAATAAGAGCTTTTCTTTCTTCTTTTTTTAAATTGTATTTTCCTATTGTACATATCTTTAGTGTTGGAGACATCTTTACTGATGAGGAAAACTAGGTACCCATCCATGCATTTTAGGTGTTTGTCTGGTCTGTATATACCCCCACACTTCTTGGGTATCTCTCACTTTTATACACACACTCTAACACTGTCTCTGATGCTCATGGTGTTTTACAGGTAGGAAACAGAACAAAATAATTGTCATTTACTGCCTCTGCATCACGTGAGAATCTGGGCTTTGGTGGCTTGTTCGTGGTTCCGTAAGATGTTTACGGCAGAGCAGGAACTGAACCAACAGCATCCCCAGGTCTTGTTTGCTCTGTAGCAGCTATACCTCCCTTTCTCTGCTTAAGTCTTTGCAGTTTGTAAGTATTAAGAATATCCAGACTATTTTTAATGTGGAAAAAAAAGTCACTGTGGTCAGATCTAGAGTTAAAATATGCAGATTCAGCCATTCAAATGTTTATATATTCCATAAAATGGAAATAAACACTTCAGTAAGGCGTGTCTGCAGAAATAGTCACCTTTGGTGTTTTTAAGGCATATTACCACTACTGTTTAAGAGAGCTTTATCTGCTAAAGAAGAAATTTAATTACATTTTTGTAAGTAATATGGGAGCAGAACTGGAATGGAAAACTGACTTCTGATGTTGAGAAAGGACACCAGTTGTGGGATTGTTTCTTTTAATCTGAAAAAGTTTAGATTTAACAAGTTTCCACAAATATTTCTGGAATTATAAGGTGGTAACGAATCCAAACTCTAACCATTATTATAGATCTTTTTTTTTTTTTTAAGAGTTTGTCTCCAGAATTTCTTCTGTAGAACTCATAGTATTATGTTTTCAGATGATCATGAGTTTAGATACAGGAGTTACTTGACTTCTGAAGAGCTAATTCTTACTGGCAGAGATGACACAATAGGGGAATATCAATCATGAAAACAGATCAGATTTGTTGTCTACAGTCTAAGAAAGCAAATGTGTTCTTTGTGTAGAAATACTGCAGAAAATAAATTACAAGAACTTGTACTTGGTATGATTTTTTAAACAAAGTCTGCTGTGTTTACTTGGTCAGTATGATAACAGGATTTGATTAGCATCAAGTTTGTAGTCAACCTGAAGAGAAAAACAGTGATATAAATCTGGATTTGCCAATCCCGGTATCCTCCTGTGGCAGAGACAATATGGATAAACCCATATGGCTCATCATAAATTTGTTCAAGGATGTTTTGAGCAGTTGCAATAGTAATCTGATGAAACATTTCCCCTGAACATGGTAACACGCCGTATCATTGCGAGGCTTTGCCAAGTGGCTGCAAGGCTTGTGGGCTTTTTTTGTTGTGGTAACGCGGCACGCGGTAACGAGCCTGTCATTTGCTTTGCTTCTCTGATATCCTTTGCTACAAATGAAATCTTGAGGGACAGAAAGGTTTGATTCTTCCTTTGCACCAATTTAAGTCATAAATTAACCCAGTAAAACTGGTGGAGTCATTGTAATGGCATAAAAAAGAATCTAGATTTAGTGACTGCAAATAGTAAGGATAGATCGATCCACTAAAGGAAAAAAAACATAGTTGAGCAAGAGAATCAGGCCATGGGTATGCATACCTATAATTACCTCAAAGATGTAACAAATGGCCCTCTGGTTGGTAGAGTGGTTTGGTTTGGTGGTGTTTGTTGTTGGTTGTTTTTGTTTTTTTTATCAACAGGTTTCATTAAATGGAACAAATAACACAGCATAATAATTAATTTGTTCTCTGGCTGTGGATATTATCTGTTACGCCTTGTCCCATTGCCCCACATACGCTGGAGGAGGAAGCAGAAACACTGTTTACCAGGACGAGTTAAAAACCAGAAATACAACTGTGTTTTCCTGCATAACAATCTACGCGGGAGGCACAGACACAGACCAGTGTTTTTAAATAACCAGGCCACTCAATGACAGCTTTTGCAATAATTTAAACCACTGTTCCCTCGGGTATGCAATTACCAAAGTATTAATAAGAAGCAAAATACATCTTTCGGCAGCAGCGCAAGGTGCAGAGCGCTCTCTGCTTTCATTACCCTCAAAGAGAGCTGGGGATGTGTCCTCTGGATCGCTTCTGCTCTTCCTCATCCTACACTTGACATCCTGGATAATTATACCCACGCCAGAAGTGGCCTTCTAATATTTTTAAATGGGTATGTTATAACAATAAGTGATGCAACGTTGCTGGTGTTTCATGCAGATTAGTATGTTTTTAGGCTTTCCGTCACACCAGGATGTGAAACACATCCTTGGCTGCTTCTGAAAATCTTCTTCAAAGTTGCATCGCAAACAGTGCTCCTCTCTGCGACCCCTCTCCAGCCAGAAAGCTCCTGAGCGAGGGTTCAGCTGTAAAAAACTGGTTTAAATGGGGCCATTCACACGCTTCACAAGCAGCACTTGGTGCGGTGTTTGGACGCTGGGGTCTGCCTGTGCAGATGTCCCAGCTGAAACCTCCATCTGGAGGACAAGCCAGCCCTGTGTCCAGCTGGGAAAGGACAAGGCTGCCTTTGTAAAGTCATCCATTTCTCTTTCCACATACCTTTATTCTTTTTTCCCAGTGGTAAAATGACTTGGAGACATCATCAAACTGAATTAGGGTGGATTATAAAATAAAATTTTAAATTGTCCGTATTTTTGACATCACTAATTAAAAGAAATGCAAATAACAAAATCCTGTGACCCACCACAGCTTTATAAGATCAGGCCCTCTGGAAATTTAATTCTCCCAAATGGAGGGGCAGAAAGTGTCATCTCCTTTTGGGTGTTTCACAGCCCCCGAAACCCAAATCTGCTGTTGATGTTGACTCTGGGCACAGGGACCCACGGGGACCTGCCGTTTGCTCCCTCCTGAAATGACAGTGAAAATCGATGACAGTTTTGCAAACACTTCTGCTCGGTGCAAATAAGTTTCTCTCCTCACATCCTGGATGCTGTTAAAGACAGCAGGCGGAATCAACTCATCTCTTAATGTACAATTAAGCATGTTAAATATATGGCCTAAAACCTTGTGAACAGTCCTGAAGAAAATCTTGGGGTTTTTCTGATTTTTTTTTTTTTTTTCCTGAAAAGGGCTTATTGTCAGCTGGCAGCTGTGGAAAACAGCACCATCTAAATGAGTCTCGCTGCATTTAATTCTCATTTATTTACTTTTTCCTCATGCTAATGCCTAATCATTTTCACCTACGGGTGAAAGAGAAGGGAAAAAAAAATAAATAAAAGGCTGCGAAATTACCTTTTTTTCCCTCCTTCTCGGCCTTAAAATGTGGCTACCATCACGCATTTTAAGGCGAGGAAAGAGAGGAAAAAAGGCAATTTTGCACATTTTAAAACTAAGATGAAGTGAAGAAAAAGTAATTTTGCATATTTTAAGGCCAAGAAGGAGGGAAAAAATGGTAACTTTGCACACTTTGAGGCCAAGAAGGAGTGGAAAAAAGGTAATTTTGCCTAATTTGGCACACTTTAAGGCCAAGAAGCAGGGAAAAAAGGTAATTTTGCGTAATTTCACATATTTTAAGGCCAAGAAGGAGGGAAAAAAGGTAATTTCGCCTAATTTGGCAAATTTTAAGGCCAAGAAGGAGGGAAAGCATGGTAACTTCGCACACTTTAAGGCCAAGAAGGAGGGGGAAATAGGTAATTTCACCTAGTTTGGCACATTTTAAGGCCAGAAAGGAGGGAAAAAAGATAATTTGGCACCTTTGAGTCCAAGAAGGAGGGGGGAAAAAAGGTAATTTCGCAGGAGATGCTGAGCTGAGGTACCGGTACCTCCCCCTGCCCCGGCGGCCCGCCGTGCCCGGGGAGGGGGGGGGGACCGGCTCCGGGCCCGCCCCCGCTGCCGCCCCAGCAGGGGAAGGCGGTGGAGCGGGCGGGGCGGCGCAGGGAGATGATGTCAGGGGCGGGCGGGCAGCCATGGTGTGAGGGCAGTGATTGAGGCGGCCGGCCCGGCGCGGCGGGGCTCGGCGGGGCCCGGCAGCATGTCGGGACCGAGCGCCGTGTCGGACCCTCAGCACCCGGCGCGGTTGCTGCGGGCCCTCAGCTCTTTCCGTGAGGAGAGCCGCTTCTGCGACGCGCATCTGGTGCTGGAAGGGGAGGAGATCCCGGTGCAGAAGAACATCCTGGCGGCCGCCAGTCCCTACATCAGGTACGGACGGGGCGGCGGCGGCGCGGAAGGCGGCTCCCGCGGGAGGCCGGCGGGGCCGGGAGCGGGCCCGTACCCACCCCGGGGCGGGCGGGCGGCGCGGGCCGTTGGGGTTACGTAAGGAGCGGCTTCGGCTTCTCTTCAGGACGAGAGTCCGGGCCGGGCCTGCCCTTCCCGGGGGGTGCCCGTCCGGCCCCGGCGGCCGCCTCAGCGCCCCGGGAAGACCCAGGGGAAATCAACTTTTCGGGGTGTGCGGGGAGGCCCGCGGGCTGAGGCGGGGGGAGCCGGCTGCGGGCTGAGGGGGACCGGCTGCCGGCTGGGGGGGCCGGGCTTTGCCGCCGCCGGCCGCACCGGGACAGCGCTTCAGGGTCATTTTCCTATTTTTCTCAACGTTTTTCAGCGAGCCAGGGCTCTAGGTGGTGGTTGGGGATCCTGAAGTACTTCAGGTTTTAAATTAAAAATAGTAGCGGGTTTGTCACCTCCATCTCTTGTCCCTGAAGAAGACCTCAGGCGCTGCCGGGGTGTCAGGGCCCTGCGGTTGGGTGACGGGAGCCGGGGAGGACAGGCACCACGGCCACCACCACGGCCCCTGAGGTGGCCCAGCAAACGGTGGGTCCTGGAGAGTGTTTCCAGAGAAACACGTTTCGTGTAAGCTCCTGCTGCAGCCACTGACAAAAGCTTCTGCTTAGAATCAGTCCTAGAGTTGTCCAGGTTGGAAGGGACCTTTCAGATCATCGAGTCCAACCATCAACCTCACACTCCGGGCCCGCCCCCGCTGCCGCCCCAGCAGGGGAAGGCGGTGGAGCGGGCGGGGCGGCGCAGGGAGATGATGTCAGGGGCGGGCGGGCAGCCATGGTGTGAGGGCAGTGATTGAGGCGGCCGGCCCGGCGCGGCGGGGCTCGGCGGGGCCCGGCAGCATGTCGGGACCGAGCGCCGTGTCGGACCCTCAGCACCCGGCGCGGTTGCTGCGGGCCCTCAGCTCTTTCCGTGAGGAGAGCCGCTTCTGCGACGCGCATCTGGTGCTGGAAGGGGAGGAGATCCCGGTGCAGAAGAACATCCTGGCGGCCGCCAGTCCCTACATCAGGTACGGACGGGGCGGCGGCGGCGCGGAAGGCGGCTCCCGCGGGAGGCCGGCGGGGCCGGGAGCGGGCCCGTACCCACCCCGGGGCGGGCGGGCGGCGCGGGCCGTTGGGGTTACGTAAGGAGCGGCTTCGGCTTCTCTTCAGGACGAGAGTCCGGGCCGGGCCTGCCCTTCCCGGGGGGTGCCCGTCCGGCCCCGGCGGCCGCCTCAGCGCCCCGGGAAGACCCAGGGGAAATCAACTTTTCGGGGTGTGCGGGGAGGCCCGCGGGCTGAGGCGGGGGGAGCCGGCTGCGGGCTGAGGGGGACCGGCTGCCGGCTGGGGGGGCCGGGCTTTGCCGCCGCCGGCCGCACCGGGACAGCGCTTCAGGGTCATTTTCCTATTTTTCTCAACGTTTTTCAGCGAGCCAGGGCTCTAGGTGGTGGTTGGGGATCCTGAAGTACTTCAGGTTTTAAATTAAAAATAGTAGCGGGTTTGTCACCTCCATCTCTTGTCCCTGAAGAAGACCTCAGGCGCTGCCGGGGTGTCAGGGCCCTGCGGTTGGGTGACGGGAGCCGGGGAGGACAGGCACCACGGCCACCACCACGGCCCCTGAGGTGGCCCAGCAAACGGTGGGTCCTGGAGAGTGTTTCCAGAGAAACACGTTTCGTGTAAGCTCCTGCTGCAGCCACTGACAAAAGCTTCTGCTTAGAATCAGTCCTAGAGTTGTCCAGGTTGGAAGGGACCTTTCAGATCATCGAGTCCAACCATCAACCTCACACTGACAAAGCCACCACTAACCCGTGTCCCTCAGCACCACATCTACCCGTCTTTTAGTGATTCCACAGCTTCCCTGGGCAGCCTGTTCCAATGCTTGACAACCCTTTTGGTGTAGAAATTTTTCCTGATCTCCAATCTAAACCTCTCCTGGCGCAACTTGAGGCACTTTCCTCTTGTCCTGTCGCTTGTTACTTGGGGGGAAAGAGACCAAGCCCCACCTCGCTACACCCTCCTTTTGGGTTCTTCTCCATCACGCTCAGTAGTGATGAGTCCAGTGACATCAAGGAGAAACAATATACCCGCCATCAGATTTTTATGATACAATATCTGTGTGTAAGCAAAACATACACGTGGGTAATTCCGAAGGGTTTTTATTTTTAAGTCCTATCATTTGCAGGTAGTAAAAACATTAAGTTCATCTTAGTTCACAAAGTAGGAGCAGACCTTTCAGTATCACTTAAAGGCAGGATTATCCTAAATCTGAGGCAGACTGTTGTGAGGGGTGGGAGTTACTTCCAGCTGTAGATTCCTGTGAAGGTGTCATAAGAGGTGGAGATGGGGGGATCTGTGTGCTGTTCTCCAAAAAAAAAATGCAACCTGCTTTAGTGGTGTCTTATCATCTGCTTGTAGGCGATATGGTATTGTGGGTGACCCTTGCAGTACAACTTTGACATTCTCAGGTACAGAAGTAAGGTAAACAAATAGAATGTAAAGTTGTTGAGTAACTTCTAAATAGGTGTTGATGGTGGACGGGCTTAAAGAAACAGTCCTCTGCGTAGGTTGAACTAGAGCTGAGATATAAAGTGAAATAAAATTCACAGAGAAGGAAGATCAGCAAGAATTTGCAAAAAAGACATCCCGGAGCCTATGTACTAATCATTTTTTCACTGCTTGTCTTGAGAAACAGTTTTGGAAGACTGTGGGGAAAGGCAAATCAAAGAATGAAATTGAAATGAGCCATTGATCCAATACTCTTCCAAGTGCCTGAATGCTTTTTAGGACATTGGTCATCATATTTTAGATGAGTGTATGCCATATCTGAAATTAAGGGTTGCTGTAGGTGGAAAAAGGTCACATTGTTGGAAAAACTGCTGTTCTGCTGTAACAGCAAGATGACTTTACAGGAAACGTGCGATTTTCTACTGTGAAAAAAACTGCGTAATTAAAAGATACGGTAAATTATTCTCTGGAGAAGTATCTTTTCATGGAATTTCATCTTTAAGTATCACACTTTGTTCATCTCTGAAAAATGTACCAGGGAAACGTGAGTTAAGCCCGTATGAGGAGTAAGAGCGCCAGACATAACTACATTAGCAACAAAACTTGTAGTCATTAGAGTCGTGGGTTTTTTTAAACTCAAAATTGTTCAGGTTCAAATCCCATGAAGGAACTCATTAACTATGTGTGAAAGTAGGTTACATGCATTAATATATAAATATGATTAAGTTCTTTTTTTTTTTTTAAGCTTACTCATCTTTCCTCCTCAGGCTTGCATGATGTGAAGAACCAAAAATACACGTACCTAGTTCTTGTACGGCACATTAAGAAACACATTTGTATTCCCTACCTCTGCAGAGCCCAATTTTCACCTGCTGCCTGTCTCTTTTTGTCACTCCAGGGTCTCTCTCTTAGTCCAGCTGCTGTTCACAGTGGGTAGAACTGGTCAGGTAGGTTGCCAATGTTGGAGCATTTCGTTTCCAGCCAGAAGTAATGTTTCAGTGGCTCTTTTTGGAGATAAAATTAATCTCCGGCCTGTACCTACTCTGTGCAAGTCCCATTTATTTTGAGTGCTGGATTTTCAAATAAAATGATTGGTTATAGGTTTTGATGTAAAGAGAAACTGCAGGAGACTCAAGAATTTTATGTTCTTGTTATTCTAAGGGTAGACGGTTCCAAAGCAAGCTCTGGTACCAGAGGCTGTTATGGTCTCCAAATGCCAATTGATTTGGGTTGCTCTCATTTGAAAAATTCCAATACGAAGCTCAGAAAAATCCATTAACCAATTTCCCAAGTAAAACTTGGATGAAAAATGAGTGGGTACGTGAAACGTACTCAGCAGTGAAGCAGTGGAAGTCTTGAGTTGACGTGGTGCTCTCTGTGTCATTATGTGTTGTGGCTGTGGGCATGTTGGTGGGCGAGTTCAGAAGCCGTGTAGGGTTTGCATGAGTGCTTAGTTTAGGGTGTGAGTAGGAAAATAAGTAGGCCTGGACTTTGAGGGGGTGGTTGGGTGTGAGCGGAGTCTGTGCCTGCTGAAGGATTTGTGCAGCCGCAGAGAGAGGAGCGTTACCTGTTTTTTAGTTTTGCATGGGAGCTGTTGGGCTGACTGGTTATGAGTAGGACTCTTGTAAATCGCAGTGATGTGGCTTCCCTCTAGGTGTTTGGCAGCTGGGTTATCCCTGCAGCTCAAAAGTGGCAGCTTCAGCAGGGAGAGGATGAAAGATGTGGAGGGGATGCAGAAACACACAGAAGTGTTACTGGTGTCATGGGTCCCATCTGCCTTTCTTGTCCATAGGCTAGCTTCTGCAAGTACAGCAAACGCCCATTTCATGAATAAATTTTCAGTCTGTGGGACCAGTAAGATTTTTAAATTTTGTGCTAGTTTAATTTTTTTGAGGTCTTGCCTCAGCTACTCAATGCCAAGTTGGTTGTGGCTCTCTGAGGGCAGTGAGGTCTGGAGGGGTTGTGTGAATTCCTACAGAATTGCCAGATGTGTACAGGTTTATCTAATCCCTCTCCGTGCCCCTGGAGCAAATCTTGTCATTTACAAAACCCAGAAGTCTTCCTGCATATCTCTAACATCTTGTGGTATGTTCCTGAGCCTGAGAAAAGGAGGATTCCTCGGGAAGAGACTGCCACAGGACAAAGTGTGGTTTGGCTCAAAGTGATGTGCCTCCCAGAGAAATTAAATTCGAGCCAGGTTAGCTCTTTATTTTCTCTTCTGTAACAAATCAGCCAGAAGTCTGCACTCTGATTTTAGCACATTCTGTCCTGGCAATTGCCCTAATGTAGGTACAGTTCTGTTGCCCTGGTTTAAATGATTTAGTTTGTGAGCCTGGTGTAAATTATGGTGCAGTAGGAGTGCTTTTACCAGAATAAACCACGCTTGCAGTGGTAACTTTGGTGGAAGTTGTAGCATACATCCCCAAACCTTTTATAGGATAGACTTGGTCCAAGTATTCCTGGTATCCCCAGCAGCAGATGTTCTCATCCTCACGGATCTGTCACTGCCTGGCATGAGTCGTTCCTGGCCAGCTGAAACTTGCAGCTCCTCATATTTTGCTGGCTTGCTGTCTGCTTGCTGTGTCGCAGGGAGCATGTGGGAACTACCTTAACAAAGAGGGTGTTTAAGCTCAGATTCTTAGATGATCTTGGTGGTGTTACGCCGGGATTGTGCTGCTGTAGTAGAAATTAAATTAAGACCTTTCTGTTATCTCAGCAGGTTTTGGGTTTGGTTTTCACACATCTGTGTGAACAGATTACGGATGGGCGTATGTGTTCTACACTGTTCCCCAAGGCTTTTCTAACTCAGTAATGGACCATCTTTTTCCAGATGAGCATAATATAGCAAAACAGAAATAAAAACGTAGAATTAAATTCATATTATTTTCCGTTTACTTGTAAATAGCTGTGCTTCTTGTAAATTGGTTTTGGTCAGAAATAACCTGCCAGCATTTCCATCTTCTCACTTGTGCCATTCAGCCTTCTGCAAGGTAGAAGCCAATGCATGTCAGTAGCTTCTGATGCTTATTTCCTAATACTTGTTTGGTTTGTATTGGCATTCATAGACAGCTTTTATAGCCTTTTAAAGCTTTTCCAATTTGTGACTGGTACTGAATTCATGAACACAAGCTGCTGCTGAAGCTGGGGGGTGGTTGGTTGTGAGGACCCCGTGCTCTCCAGTTCTGGTTGAGCCAGATCCCCCTGTGCCTGTGCCAGGTCTTGCTCCCTCTTTGCTGGGTGCGCAGGGAAGCGTTTCAGTAACTGCTCTGTCAAATAGACATCTGAAGCCGTGTCATCAGCAAGGTTTTTTATGAGAAGTTTGTTTCTGGCAGTCTCCTGGGAACTCTACGGGCTGCCCTGGCAGTAGGAAGTCAGGCACAAACCAGGCCAGAATTTGCTTCCAGACTTTTTAAGCTGTTTTTGTGTTTGGATGTGTGTTATGTTTGGATAAGTAGTTGAGAGGCAACAGTGATACAGGTATGTTAAAAGCCTGTGGCTTAAAAAGAGATTTAAAAATCCCTATACC